TTGATATTATTATTAATAATAATAATAATAATAATAATAATAATAATAATAATAATAATAATAATAATAATAATAATAATAATAATAATAATAATAATAATAATAATAATAATAATAATAATAATAATAATAATAATAATAATAATAATAATAATAATAATAATAATAATAATAATAATAATAATAATAATAATAATAATAATAATAATAATAATAATAATAATAATAATAATAATCAGGTTCTGAATAACATATTTTATTAAACATAAATTTTGCCTAAAAACGAAAATCAGGTTCTGAACACCTAAGTATCCCTCGTCCTACGCCTGCGGTGAGAATGTCGCCCCTGAGAAGGTCCTGGATCCCAATCGTTAGCATCAACATGGTCCAACTGTAGATACTCAGCGAAACTCCACATCTGATCGCCAGGCTCGTAGTTAATCTTGTAAGATGCTATTTTTCGCTCCCTCTTAGCACCTTTTAGCGGACGAATTAGACATCCTGTAAACATAAAAATTATTTTAATTGCATTTAATTAACTAAATTATATTAAATTTACTAACTTATTTTAATCCAGAAAAAAAAAATTATTTTAAATCAGAAAAAAAAAAAAAATTATATCGAACGCCCGGTTTGGACGTTTCCCGGCCGAACCGACGCCTGGACCGGGCGCCGGTTCACCCGGGAAACGCCCAAACCGGGCGTCCAGCAACTATTTACACGCCCATGTCGGGCGCCGGCGTCCGTTCAGGCTGTCGGCGCCCGACATAGGCGTTCAAAACCGGTTTGCGAAAATTAAAAAAGCCATACAAATCGATTTGTAGGGCTTTAAACATGAAATTGGTTGCAAAATCGAGTTACCCAATGCATATAACACAAGTAGGAGTCGAAATTACCTGAAAAAATCCAAGTCCAAGCAATGAAATTAGTTGAATTCGATTTTTTTCGAATTTTTTTTTTTTTTTTTCTGAAAATTTTCGAATGGGGGGTTTTTGGAGAAATTTGAGAGTTTTAGAGGTTTTAAAGAGATAAAGTGTTTTTTGTTTTGAACGGTAAATAGCAGTTTTTAAACCGTAAAGAGCATTTTCTTTTAGTAAAGAAACAAATAAGATCTTAAAGAAAAAATGTGGGGTAGATGTATTTTTTTAAAAACATCTTATAAGCTCCCTAAGCTTATTTTGGAAAAAATAAGATCTTTTGCAATTTTTTTACCAAACACCTTTTAACAACTTATAAGCTCCTAAACATCTTATAAGATGTTTTTAGGAGCTTATAAGCTTAGCCAAACAGGCTCTAATAGGAACTCCCCTGTAAACAAACTTCAACTTATTTTGGTGAAATGTTTAAATTGTCCTAATAATTGAGATTTGAATAAGAAAATAAGGATTTGAATAATAAATGTCAAATGCATTTACCACACAAATGTTTTAAAATTGCAGAATCAGTTTATTTTCAGAAAAATAAAAACAAAGAAAGGCGTATATAATAAAAGAAAGAGGTACACGGTAGGGGTAAAGCAGTAAATTGGCACAAGAATTACTGCACTGTAGTACATTTCAATTAACCCAATTTCCAACAAAACCTTAAAACCCTAAAAACAGTCGATCCCCAAAACCTCCTCTTTCCCGCTTACAGTCCCACCATTGTTATCGAATAATGTACGGTGGTGATCCTCAGCACCAGCACCACCAGCAGCACCTACGGCCTCCGCCGGGAATGCAGTTGCCTCCTCCGGGAATGCAGTTGCCGCCGCCGCCACAGCCGCAGCATCCGAATGCTCACCAATTCCACCACCAACAACAGCCGCACGATTTCTCGCGGGGCCCCCATCCTCCGCCCGGCCCACCACCGCCTCAGATAATGCGGCAGCCATCTGCTTCCTCCACTAACCTGAACCCTCCCCAACTAGATTTTCACCAGCAGCAACAACAGCAGCAGCATCCACCTGCTCAGCCCCCTTTTCCCGTTCAGCCGCCTTATGATGGTCAGAAATGCGATTTTTTTTCTTCTTCATATCCATGTTTATCTGTTTTTGCCTCTTTTAGATTGCATATTACAGATTTTCTCCTTATGAACTGCTATATGTTTTGTTTGGAAGAGCAAATACTTAACTGTGAGAGCATAGTACATTAGCAAATGGCATTTCAATTTTAAGTTTCGTAATTGAAAACAAAAAAGAAAAAGAGATCACTATGTCTGTATACTGTATATTTAGGGCTCTGTTGTAGGATATGACACCCAACATTTTAACTAGAATTTCACTGCCTTTCTTTATTCCGTGGTGATAGAGACACTTTGTAGGGATGGGCGATCATGTAAAGGTAGAAGTACGATTCACATTTCAATTTATACAAATAGCTTGGTATAATTATGCTTTATATGTGCTGCATAGTTGGGCACTATTATATAATAATGATTGTAACTCCTAAACATTTAGGCACTGTCCAAGAACTTCAAGGAACTGCGCGGATTGCATTCTTCGCGTTCTTCATCTTTCTACATGACCAAGAATTTGGATTTAACAAGTGTTAACTCATGTTCTGGCGTCTCATTTAGATCTTAAATTAAGTATTGGTGTGTAAAGAAATTGTGAATTACTTTCTGAAAAGCTTACTAAAGAAATTATACTTGGTCATACAACTTCTAACTTCTAAGAAGAAATATTGACACGTTACTTTTTGCATAAATAAGAATAGAAATGTGATATTCGAACTCTTGACTTGAATTACGCCATTTAAATTGGAGTGAGAATCAGAGTTGATAAATTCCTAATATTCTTTTGAGTTATAGTTCAAACAAGGATTCTAAGATTATACTACTTCTACTGTACCAGATCATAGTTCTGCTAGATTATGCCGTAGGAATTTAGTTTGAATAAGATAAATGCACTAGTCTGGTTCCTTTATATTCTTAACTAAAATAATAATGCCAGACCTGCTTTACTCGGTAGAGAAACTATAAAGACGGAATATTGTATTCATGGCAATGCCTCTTGTATCAGGGATATTTTTTTGGCTTGATTATTGTGGCTGTAGACCTTACTCTGGTTTTTTTGGCTTGATTATTGTGGCTGTAGACCTTACTCTGGTTCTAAACATGTTGCAGCTCATGCTGACAGTTTTGCTGCAAAAAGAATGAGAAAAATTGGTCAAAGACGGGCAGTTGACTATACAAGCACTGTTGTGAGATATATGCAGGTGAGTTTGCTTTGGATGTCGTTATGTATGCATGATACGGGTGTTTTATCGTCAGTAACAACATCACCTTTACTGTGTCTACTTAAATATGTGAATGAATTAATTTGTAGATTTTCTTTATATATTTATTTTTTACCTTCAGCACAACATCTAGCTTCTTTTCTTTGATTAACTAAAAGCATTATATGCTTAACTTTATTGATCCTTTATCTGTAGAAATCTAGTATGCTCTGGTCATTGTTATCTCATCCTTTAGTGAGATAATCTAGGATGTAAGTATTAAGTACTAGTTTTGACCTTTGTTTGCTCAGAAATATTATTACCTCCAGTTAGATAGCTGTATGGAGTTATGACCCTTGTTTGCATCAAGATATATTTGTTATGCGCTGGAATGAAGCTCTTGAATATCTTTGAGTGTCATCTCTGTTCAATTGGATGGATGTGCCGATAACTGATGTGGGGATTAAGAATAAAATCACGTGGAGAATAAAAATACAATAGTTGATATGGGCATAGTTGGCTTTAGCATCATGTGTTGTGTGTTTCAAGACTACGTTGTCACATCAAAATAAATTACCATAGAGAGACTCGTCTGAAAACTGCCTTGTTGGGCTATGATTATTCATTATTCATGCAGTTTCAGTTTCTAGTTTCAGTTGGACCAGTCATTGCTCTTTAATTGTGTACTTGAATTTTGACAACAAATTTGTTAAGAGAAGCTCATTTGTTTTATTCTTTGGCAGATTCGAATGTTTCAGCGAGATTCAAGGGATAGGACAGTTTTGCAGCCTAACCCTGCAGCAGCAATTGATGTTTGTTATTTTCCTCATCTACTTTTTTTGTAATTATTTCAAATATGGACATCATGTTTCAACTAAAAACTTTGCAAAGGATAGGACTAGTTGTAAGATTATGTTTCAACTAAATTCTTTTCTTGGATTGAACATGAAATAATCATCTTTACTGTTTCTTCCACCTAGCTTAAACGTGTTGCTGAAGATACATCATTTTCGTTCATGTTTGTCATTGATGCAGATGTTGCCTAGTGTTGCCCACGTAGATAACCCATCCACAAGTTATGCAGCAAAGTTTGTACATACATCATTGAACAAAAACCGATGTTCAATCAACTGTGTTTTGGTGAGTTGAGGAAAACTAACCTTCATTCGGCACTACTAGGCACTAGCTGTGACATTCTACATCTTTTATGGTTTTCTCTCTGTGTTGTTTGCAAATTTACGAACCATAACATCTTTAGTTGTATACATACTGGGGGTAACACTGGTGAAATTATCCTACAAGGTGGTTTATTTTGGTTAGGTTTCTTTTGTTCTTTGGCAAACTTGTGTTGAAAAAATTATTTCCGTGACAGTTACTGCAAAGTCTTCACTTTTGTCTTGCAAGTATAGTTACTTTAATTCCTTAGTCTGCTAGCTTCCTGATGTTATATGTCTTAATTCTTTCTATAGGAAGAGTTGTCAGATTATGTGTTCATCATACTTCTCAATGGTGGAAACATATGCTAGAAGAGTCAATGAGAAATCTAGGTTTACATGTGTTCCTTTAAACTTAGAAGTAAAAGTTGACACGACCTGTAACTGTAAAGAACAAAGATTTCGTACGTGACTGAGTTAAAAGAGGCAGTCACTTATGAGTTTAAGGTTAAGATGACCTTGATGTTCTGTCTTAGCATGGATTTGTAGTTATGTACAAAAGAGGGTATATCAAAGAGGAAATGAAGAGTTCTAGTAATATATATGTTTTGATCATCTTCCTGGTGAAATTCCTTAATTTCATGTGATAGTGTGACTCACATCTTAAGTGTCATGGCATTCTTTCATGTCTAGGTCCGTGTGGTCAAGGCCACAAAGTTGTTCTTTTGGTCCATTTTTTGTCAAGTTAAAACTGATTATTTGAAATGCAGTATATCATTCTGCTGTTCTATACTAACACAAAAGATTGTCGACATGGAAGAAATGCCGGGAATAAAAGCTCAAGTTATTTGCTAATCATCAGATAGTATCTGCTATCATGATTTAACTATGACTTACTTGTTGGTGCATATGATAGTTACCAATTTTTCTAAAAATGTAATCCTGAACTTTACGCTTGTATATGTTTAGTAGTGCTTTTGTTCTATTGTGAGGACCAAACTTCCTATACATGGATCCTATATCTGTTGGATATAAGGCTAACCACATTCTGGTTTCGTATCTGCATCCAAATAATTGACAGTGGACTCCTAGTGGGAGACGTCTTATTACTGGATCTCAAAGTGGGGAATTCACTCTGTGGAATGGGCAGTCCTTTAATTTTGAAATGATATTGCAGGTATTCCAATTAATAAATTAGCTTCTTGTTTTTTAGAACTATGAGAATCCATATGAATATTTCATAATCTGCAGGCTCATGAGCAAGCTGTCAGATCTATGATATGGAGTTATAACGAGAACTGGATGGTTACTGGAGATGATGGTGGCGCCATAAAGTAAAACTATTTTTTACAAGTTCATAACAAGGTTATCTCAATTAATTTGGTTCTCAAATTGATGCTACCTGGTTGCAGGTACTGGCAGAATAACATGAATAATGTCAAAGCTAATAAGTCAGCACATAAAGAATCAGTTCGTGGCTTAAGGTATAATATCATGCTTCAAACTGGCTATCTAATATCCCCGTTTCTCTATTTGTATTTAGGACATGTGTTTCATTTTCTCATTGTAGATTGTTTTTCTATATTATCTTGCAATTCTTCCATGTTTTGATTAATTCCTTCATCATTAGGCTGGAAAGAACTGCGACTGTTCTCATTTTCAACAAAAATACCATAACTCTTTTCTTAATAAACTACTTTTTTCTTTCTCTGAGAGTCGTAGTCTTTTTTTAATTTTTTTAAATTTTTTTTTTTTTTTTTAAACTTGTGATAACTGATAACTGTCTATTTTTGTCTGTAACCTTGTTACCAGCTTCTGTAGGACAGATTTGAAGTTCTGTTCCTGTTCTGATGACACTACTGTCAAAGTCTGGGACTTTGCTAGGTGCCAAGAGGAGCGCTCATTATCTGGTAATGTCCTTGATTTATTGATTCATTTAAGGATTATTTGTGGGTCTAATTAGATTGAATCTCTCCTGTTGAAATTGTTCTTGATGCCTAACTTCTCAACAAGAAAAGAAAGACATGATGGTACATCAAGAATTTGCACTGGAATAACGTAGATGGCCAAGCTTAGTAAAATTAGTAAAATAGTTATCGCCATTCTCCAAATAGAATCCACAAAGCCTTTACAGTTTGTTTCACTTGCTATGGAAGTACCAAGCTCTATGTACTGATTCTTTGAGCTGCCTAGACTTGTAACTTCTTTCGAATTAAAAAGCTAACATTCTATCTTCTCTGAGATCTCAAAACTAAATTAAATAAGTGCACAGTTATATAAATTCTCAAACTATGAAACAATGCAATGTATCTATCTTACTGCCCTGTTCCTGATTTATTGGCGAAGGGGTATAATACTGCACATTGTTTTCCTGCAATCACACTTAAAAAGTCAAATGAACTATTTTAAAGTAAGAAATTGACCTTTACTACACATAAGTGAGCAGAGTTTCTCGAGTAGGATTCTGTTCTTCTCTGAAATTTCATTAACTTGCTGGCATGACAGTAATATCAGTAGTTTATGAGTTGTCTATTAGTGATCAGTGGCCCTTGTGATACTGTATATTTTGTTCGTAATCTCTTACATTAAGACAAATAAGTTGTCCACTACCAGTTTTATGATGATAATTGGTGCATAATATAACCTAAGAATTTCTTGTGTGTCCTTTAACTCAGGCAGGCCATGGTTGGGATGTAAAGTGTGTTGACTGGCATCCTACTAAGTCATTATTGGTTTCCGGTGCGTGCTTTATTAGTTTTGGTATATTGAAAATTTCAAAAGTCACGCGATTTTCTGTTATTTATTATTTTCAATGTGCTTTTCATAGGTGGAAAAGACAACCTTGTCAAACTCTGGGATGCTAAGTCCGGGAAAGAACTCTGTTCATTGTAAGTAACCCCCATTGGTATTCCTTTAGTTTAGTAAATAATGATTTTAAATTATCCTTCAACTGAATCTAATTGCATAGTAATTGTGGTTTTGTAGTCATGGCCACAAGAGTACAGTTCTTGGTGTGAAATGGAATCAGAATGGTAACTGGGTTTTAACAGCTTCAAAGGATCAGATTATCAAGGTAGGCTTATTGGCTCAGGCTTACTAATCTTTTCTCTCTCCCTTACAATGATGAGGGGGTGTAGTCTGCAAGGAAAAATAAATTGTAATCAATTGATTCACATTCATTTATTTCTCCTTGATATGATTCTCTTTCTTTGCAGCTTTATGACATACGGGCAATGAAGGAGCTTCAATCTTTCCGTGGGCATCGGAAGGATGTTACGTGTATGAAATTTCTTATATTTCATCATAGACCTTTTACTTTACCTGGATGCATGCAATCTATTTACTCCCTTCATTTGTGTTAAAAACTGCTAGAAGTGATTGGTCAACTACTCAACTTAATCCATTTAACATTGATGCATAGTCATTTAAATAGTTTTCTTAGCTCTTTCAGTGCCAGGATACAATTCATCCGAATTAGAGTAAATGTAAACAGGTTCCATATATTATGCTTATGACATTTGACATAGTTGAGTCATAGGTCTGAGATCTTGTTTGGGAGAAAACATCCCTGAAGCTAATAAAAAACCTGCAGCTATGTAGAATGCTAGTGATTTATTTATGCTTTTTTCATAGAAGGCCATTGCTCTTCATTAAGTTATTCTGTTTAACATACTAGAATTCAGGTGATCTGTGCTTCTCGTTCTTTGAAACAACTCTGCCTCTTATTTTACATTCTTACTTTTATACCTGCGTCTTTTCTTGTAGTCTCTAGTGTGTTTGGACCTACTTTGATCTTTGTACTTCTGCCTTTTCTGTGGCCTCCTTATATTTATGATGCTTATGTTGCCTTCATGTTTTTGCTTCCATAGCATTGGCTTGGCACCCATTTCACGAGGAATACTTTGTTAGTGGGAGTTTTGACGGATCAATTTACCATTGGCTAGTTGGGTAAATTCTTTACCTTATTGCTTGAAATACATATTAGTTTCATTTTGTATATATTTGTCTCTTTATTTATGTAGGCTTTTTTTTTTTTTTTTTGAGAATGTCTTCTTTGGTAAGTGCTGAAGTAATATTGATCAAGTTTTGAGGTTCGTATCCACTGCTTATGTTGGACTTCTTAAATCTCTTTTGGTCCATTTCAAAGCACAGGGAACTGGTTCACACTGATAAGAAAATTTGGAAATACCTATTTTGTATTATTACATGGATATAATTACCAGAATTTCTCCCAGCTGTTGCAGAAATTTAGAGACTTACCCCTTACATAGTTGAAACTTAATCATGGATACAAGACATTTTCACCTTTTATACTGTAAGCTATATCTCTCATCATATATATTCCCTACGCCCAAGCTCTTTTCAATAAATTTTTCAATGATATGAGGTTGAGAAGGAAATAGGCATATCGTGATCTTATTTTGCTTGTTCCTTTCTGGCTTTTGGCCCGATTCTTTACTTTCCTTTTTATCTTTTTGGGCTAGAGGATAAAAATTAATTATAATTTAGTTCCTGGTTTAGAAGGATTAGTTCTTCAGGCAGTAGTTTCTAAGAAATACTCACATGTTGTTCATTCAGTGTGCGAGTTGGTAACTGATATTTGGAAATTATTGCTCTTGACCATCATCTAATTTTTTGTGGCAGGCATGATACTCCCCAGGTTGAGATACAGAACGCACACGACAATAGTGTTTGGGACCTTGCATGGCACCCTATAGGATACCTTCTCTGCAGGTACTAATTTATCTAATCAACTATTTGATTTTCAACATCTCGTGTGGTAACTGTACTTGTACTGGCTGCATATATCTATGGAGGCTCTCTAAATCCCTACATAGAACAACTAAGTTTTAAATTTGATTTCTGTTCATGTACGTATTGTCACGTAAGGGAGTTTGTTTCCCTTGTGGGTTCCTTTTTAGCTTCCTGTTGTTACTCTATTGTGTGTAACTTACTACAGTGACTATTTGACGAAAGTTACTCTCGATATAAATGTTTAAACATTGTTGCTTTTTTAGCAATCAAGCTATCTGTACTTTAAATTTGAGCAACAATAGTCTCGGGAAAATATTGGATACTGTCACAACCAAGTAGTAGTTTTTGTCGTACCTGCTATAAAAACTATGATCAAGGAAAAAAGATGGATAGTTACTAATTGAAAATTGCTTCTGTGCAGTGGTGGCAATGATCACGCAACAAAGTTTTGGTGCAGAAATAGGCCTGGAGACCCCGTCCGTGATAAATTGAACACAGGACAAAATCAAGGTTTTACTAATATTCTCTTCTTATTTTACTGCATCAGTTATTTAACATCAAATACGTAAAGCGACAATGATTGTAAAAATATGTTTAACAGTTGATTTGTTTTCTATGCCTCATATTTTCTTAACTATTTGTTTAGCAGGTTATGGTGAGCAGAACCCTGCTATGGGAGGCCGTGGGCAGGTACCATACCCTATGGCTGAGCCACCCATAAACCCTGGACCATTCGGAGCTAATTTGGCTCGGAATGAAGGTACAATCCCAGGTATTGGAGCTGCAATGCCGCTAGCTATTCAATCTCTCGATCAAGGAGATCAGAAACTACCCACACCAGGTTCAAATCCAATGCCTTTAGGACCTCCTCCTCTGCCGCCTGGTCCACACCCATCCCTTCTTATGAACAAACAACAACAGCAGCAGCTCTATCAACAAAACGCTCCACCACAACTCCAACATCACCAGCAAATGTCCTCTCTGCCTTTGCCGCCACCAAATATGCCGCCTCACATGCAGCAACCTCCACATTACTTATCTCGCCCTCCCCCTCAGCTACAACAGCACAATACTTCTCCCAACGTGCCCTCGTCAATGCCTGGCGGCCCTATGGTAAGAGAAATAAAAAATCTCTAGTTCGACTATGTAATCATTTTGATCAAACTGCCTTTTGATGGACTTGCATAAATATATATATATATATATTTTTTTTGAATTAATATTTGCACCTATTTGTGGTGTTATTTATAGGGTGGTATGAATCAAATGGTTCCACAAGGCCACTATATGGGGATGAATCAGATGCCTTCTGGATCGGTGCCACCTGGCAATATGCCTTCACTTGGTAACCAAATGTATCAACCTGGGGGTGTCTTTAACAGGCCCCCACAAGCAGGGCAGATGCCTATGATGCCTGGAATGAATCCTTATCAGGTACGAAAAAAAATTAGTCTAGAAATTTTTTTTTTTGGGTAAATAATCGTGATTTTGGGCGTTGATTAATCTTGTTGGAGTTTCTCTTTTTTGGGGAATTTTGTTAATTCAATTCGAGGCTAATGCGGTAGCATATACTTTGTTGATGCAGCCTGGAAATCCGAATGGTCCTGGTATGCAGTCGAATTATAATATTCCATCTGGGATTCCTCCACCTCTGCCGCCAGGGCCACCACCGCACGGTCAATCTCATCAGTAGACACAATTTGTATATTTTCCGAACTTTTTTAGTTAGAAAAAAAGCGGACATATATATCTCTGTTGTGTTGTGTTGTAAATTGTACCTTTGATGAAATTTTGCTGATATAGCAAAGATGCAGGCTTATTTTTATGCAGTTTTTTTTCAATTTTTTTTAATAGACTCTTTTAGGTGCTGTATTTGTGGCTATGTTACCATTTTCTGGTTTGTTTAAGATACTTTTATCTGATTTTAGTATTTCATATTATATTTTAGTGCATCTAATCCTTTTCTCTCGAAAAATAAAATAAAATATAATATAATAAAATATAATTTATACTTTACAAAGTCAATTGCACGGTTGCACCATACTTTTCTGTTACCATTTCAACTCACCAAAAAAGGAAAATGTAAGTTTTGAATACTTTAATTTAATATAAATATATATATAATGTTAATAATTAATATTTATTTATTTAAATATCAATAAAAAAGTGATATATATGTATTGTAAAATGTGATCATATTCAAATTTACATGATAGACAAAATAGATGGAAAAGCGTCGTCTACCAAGGGACTTAATTAGAGTCAAACTCGGATAATTGTGGTTAAAATCTAAAAATAAAAATAATAGAAATATCACATTAGTAATATAATATAAATCTTATTGTCTTTTTTTTTTTTTTTTTTTTTATTTAAGGAACGAACCCGCAACCAACTATATAAGGTGTATTGGGTAAAACTACACTCTTGTATAATAGATTTTAGTACGTGTAACGTGAAACAGTGGACATTAAAACAATACCCAAAACCATCAAATGCTTATGAGAGTATTAAATATATAATAAGGGAGGAATAAAAAATATTAAAAAGTAGAATAAAAAATAAGTTAAAGTTTGGAGCATGTCAATGATTGAGATTGTGTTGAGATTTGGTCGGCATCTTACAACTCTACTTCTTCGGTTCTTCCCCCTTTATCAACAATTATTTAATTTCTCAATAAATAAATAAATATATAATCAATAAAACAATATGTAGTTGATACTGATAGAGGGAACGATCAAATTAGTGTGATTCATTCCATGTACCTAAATATTTCACATTAACAACTGGAAATAAAAAAAAATAAAAAAAAAGGGATTTATTCTATTTTACATTTGATAAATTTAATCACCCAATCGTAATAATTAATAAATATGTATACAACGCGCGAAAGACACACAACCACACATTTACTCATAATTATATCGAATGTATTTCACTCGACGCAGCATTCACAAGACTAAAATTAAAGTAATGAAGCGTTGCCGCGTAAATTGATTTATTTTTGTATATTTATAAAAGATCACAAAACGGCGGTGGCCGCGTATGAAAACGGAAAATATTCGATTACGAAGAATTTCCCTCTCTAAATATATCCACAATCAGAAGAAGATCATAACAATTTTTTTTCTACTAGCTCTAAACAAAATCACTAAGTACCTCAAACAAAAAAATAATTAATTATCAAAAATTAATTAAAGTGGATTATAAAATCTTGTGATTGGCTAATCAAATAATCAAGTGCATATATTCCTCCTCAACAAATGAGGTCTTAATTTATTGACATCAGATTGTTGAACTGGTTTAAGGAAGAACTCTTCAGCACCTTGTTCCATGCAGCTGTTTATTCTTGATGCTACATTTTCTGATGACATAATCACCACTGGAATATCTTTCAATAATCTTGATTCCTGTCAATTATTAATTTTTATTTTAAATTAATATTCTTTTCTTGATTAAATAATTATTAAAAAAGAAAGATTTTTCGGGTTATAGTTTTAATTACGTACCTTGATCTTTCGCAGAAGATCGTAACCGGTAACTGCGGGCATGCTGTAATCCGTGATGATCAAATTTATCTCCACTTTCTGCATGCCAAGATTGATCAATGTTATTAAAAAAAAATTAACAAATTTTTTTAAAAATAATAAAAGTATTTTTTTTATGTGATATATAGAAAAAGAATCATATATTATATACCAGAGTGTTATTTGATTTTTCATCACCAACCAATCCAAGAAACTCTAGAGCCTTCACTCCAGATTCGACAACGGTAACTGCATACGATATAACAATCGAAATCAGCATAAAACATACATAAAATCATAATTAAAAAAAAAATTGAAATATTATTTTGACTAATAAAAATACCATTAAAAATTAAATAAATAGTAAAAGAAAATATTAAATATACCTTGATAAGAAGAAGTTTTGAGGAGCCTCTCAATCAACTTTCTATCAATGATGCTGTCATCAACTGCCAGCACATGAAATTGTGTTTCTGCAGCAGCTGTTATTATTCCACTCATTTTTTCTATTACAATTTTATTCAAAAAACAAACTATATGAAATTTGAGTTTCTAGAGAGAGAGAAGTGAGTAGAGAATGGGAGAGAAATGATTTGAGGAATGGGAGATATAAAAGGGAATGGATTTTTGAAATGTGGGAAAAAGAGAGATATTCAAAAAAGATATCAACAGATATTATTTCAGAATCTTTGGGATTTTCTTTGATATTTGAATTGCTTCAAAAGCAATGAACTTTCTTTATTTTTATTTTCATGGATTTAAATTAAATTATTATTTGTTGGGATCTTGTAATTAAATAAATTAAGAAAATAGATCCTATGGCTCTTTGACAAGCCTAAGGCTACATTATAATATTGATTATTTTGCAGCCCCTTGACCTTAATTACATTATTATTATAGGTAACATGCAAACGTATCTCTCTCTCTCTCTCTCTCTCTCTCTCTCTCTCTCTCTCTCTCTCTCTCTCTCTCTCTCTCTCTCTCTCTCATGTATGTGCTGTGTGCACACTAATTTTGACTCTTTTTCATAAAATCTTTTTTTCTATTTTTAGTAGTTGATATTGGAAATATTCAAAAGATATATAATGGCAATTATCAATATATAGCTAGCAAGGTTTACAAATAAGTGGTTTTGAAGATTTGGTAAGATACCGGATACAACATATATACTTTTACACCATAATTCACATATATATACATGTGTGAGTAAAATGGGAATTTTCATGTTACACCGGATTATTAACATCGGTTGCTTGTTAATTATAGATCTGCACGTAATCGCACACACTCATGCAGATGTGTGCTTATAAGTGGGTTGTTATTTATCGTCATTTACAGTTAACAATATGTAGGATGCATGTAACTTGGGTAGTTGACACTTAACAATATAATACAAATGTATGGTAAATTAAAATTTGATTAAACCATAGTAAGTTTGCACAATCGAATGAAGAAAGCCACGTCGCCGAATACATTTTAAATATCCAATTGTAATAAAGATGGATAAGTATGCATGCTTCACAAACTAGGTAAAAGAAAATTAGATACCATTTGACATATACCTAAAATTAACCCGTGGGTTTCATTTTGAAAATTTTCCTTCAAATTTCTATTAATTTATATAAAACATAAAAAAAAACAAAAAAAAAAAAAAAAAAAAAAAATTGTGTGCAATAGTATTAAGTATTAACATCCCCTTAAAAATTTATTAATGCGTTCGGCACCCCGGACTTGAAATCCTGGTTCCGCTAATATTTTGGGGCAGATATATACTTCACAATGATCAAACAGGTGGTGTTGAATAACACACTGCATAAAAAAATCATAGGATTTTCGCCAAAAAATATGAAAGGCTGTAGTAATATTCAATCTGATACGGATAATATATTTCTCCTCTTTAATTAATTAGTGGACATCTATCTGTATTAAGACAAGTTAAATAACAAGAGTCAACTTCATATTGTTTCATCGTTATTATATATGAGTGATTATGTTTAAATTAAAGGTGTAAAATAATCAAATAAAGTTCTTTTGATTAAACTTTATAGTGTGTTCTTTTGAGTTGGAAAATGCTCGTGTCTCTATTTTTAGATAATAATCGAAATTACTTTAATTTCCTTGATTATGTCAATCTCATTGCAATGTAGTTAAATGGAAAAATAATTAAAAGGTAAATATTCCACAATATAAGGTGTTAGAAAAATCATTACAAAAAAAGTAAACCAGTCCAATTATCTCTTTCTCGCTCTATATATGTATATGTACATAAAATATGATAAAAAGCAATACTTTGAAGATTTTTAAAGCCTATGGAAAATTACAAACAGTACCCCGAGGTAAGGTCTATTTATAAAAAAAAAACCACTAAGTTTTCATAATTACATCCAACCCCCCTGCAATTTATAGATTTCTTCATTAACACCTTTTTGTAGGGGGGGTTGGATATAAGAAATTTACACACTACAGGGGGGCTAGATGTAATTTCTCAAAATGAAGAGGTTTTTTTGTATTTATAATTTACTTAAGGGAGGTGATTGGAATTTACTCTAAAGCATCATATTGAAAGAACTTTTTTTTTTTGTTGGGAACAAGAGTTCTATGTTTTTAAACTCTCAAATTGGGAACAGTTTATTTATATATCTATGAAATATGAATAATGGATTATATAGGTGCAATTTTCTCGTCTCAAGTGCGAAAAAGTATATCGTACGTATATACACATAATCACGTGTATACATGTGTGATTATATTTAAATATATGTTAATATGCAATATTTTTCAATTGGTGTAGCATGACAAAAAAACGTGGGATCAAAGTGTTAGAACTCAGAAGTCAGAACAGCAAAAAATCGATATAATACACGAGAAGCACAAAACGGACTCCTCCCTTCTACAAAAGCATTTTCGTGTAGCTGCTATCTATGAAATGAAAAATCAGAAGAAATTCTGAATGCAGCAAACACTAAATAAACCTGTTGTTTGACATCCTTGATCGCCACAGTATAAATAAATACGCCAAAAAAAGTCGAGAGCGAGTCATAACTTCCGAACAAGGTGTTCGATTCTAGCCCTTCAAGAATATCTATTTGGCGACCTGACAAACAAATATACCCTACATCGATAACTTCATAGACGAATAAATACAAAAGAAAAAGTCTTTCGAAAAGATGGTCCTTTAATATTATCGAACTTAAATAAAATTAGTATTTATCGGCTCATCACAAGAAAACATATGCATTTACACAAATATAAGAATCAATCAAGAGTCAAAAAAAAAAAGCATAAAAGAAATCATAGATACCAAGTGTAAACTGCGCGTACCTTTTCTGTCCTGGAACTAGTTCGTACGAAGCTAAGGTGAGCCAAGTAATTGCTCTCTGCAAAATCATGTAATGTGTGAAATGACCGTTGTGTCCCGTCAGGAGTATTTGTAGCGAACTCTTCCTTCAACAGCCTTCTGCATTCATTGCCGTCCTGAAGAGGTGGTACAATATTAGTTGATGACATAAATTAAACAGATCGTGCCGCAAATATATATCTGTCTATTCTTCCGTAGATGAAGCTGAAAAGGTAAGAAGAACTTCAACAAGCACTTGTTTTATTCGTGTTCTTGCCTTGGAAATTGACCAGATTTCACAAACTTATAAGTTGGTACGTGTTACTTGTGTTAACCCCCGATAGATGACCATAGAAACGAAATAGGAAGGAGCACACTACCTGTAAAAATTTCAGCATTTGCTCTTCAATTGTGCCATTCATGGCTAACGTTTCTACATGAATTGGACGTGTAGCACCCATTCGATGAGCCCGACTGATAACCTGCTCCTCCATACTAATATTTTTTAACAAAAAAAAAATATGAAAAATTAAAAAATTCCACTCTGAGCAAACCAAGTGAAACTGAACCGAAATCTATCAGGCAACTTTCACGAGAAAGCAATGAAAAATTATCAAAGTACTTGTCTAGAAATAGAAAATTTCATCCGTTACCTTCTATCCCATATAGGTTCCATCAGATAGACATGATTCACAAAGCTTAAATCGAGACCTAAAGCTGCACTTCCGTCCATCAAGAGAACCATACAATTTGCATCATGCTGGAAAGTTGCCAGTGATTTCATCTGAATTCCATAAAAGTAATTAGCAACTGAGCATATCGAAAGCATGAAGCCATCAGAACAACAAAATAATGATTAAGTACCTTATTGCTGGAGTGCATTGGACTATACATTCCAGCAAACTGGATGCCTGCAATACTTAACTGGGGATATTTTGAAGAAAATTAACTCATTAACTGAAGTCTGAGGAGACTACAAAGAGAATCATGTGTATGTTGACCCGATATTTACAACTTACCTGTTGTTCAATGATATGGATGTGTTCAAGAAACTGTGAGAAAACAATGACTTTCTCCAAGGGAATCTGGCTCCACCCGTTTTTTAACTTATGGCAAGCATCTTGATCTAGTGATATATCGAAATAGCTCCTGTTAGAAGAGAAATTAAGTTCACTAGACACATCAGCGTATCCAGTCATCCTATTAGTTTCTTGCAATTCCTTTAACCGGCGAACTAAATATGTAACTTTGCTGCTAGATGTTGACTGCCAATCAGGATTCCAGTCATCCTGCACCAAACAGAAGCATCGTTTTAAATCGTTACGACCAGGAAATTGAGGAAAAAACTAGATACACAAATGAAAATGATCATCATCTTAGTCACCAATGGGTTACTAAAACCAATGATGACCAGGTCAAATGATAAATATATAAGCCAAATATCATTAGTGCGTTAAACTTCACGGTTCAGGGGCAATTTAGTTTTCTCTCCATTAATCAAAACAAGGGGCCAACTCAATCTAGCCACAGGCCCTTCTATTTCCAAAATGCCTTTGACAGCACTGAAATTCTCAGAGCAACCATGAAATAATGAATCTCTAAATCTGTTGAACCAAAAGTGATGTGTAGCCTCAATATGTTTATCAGAAATATTTCCTAGAAACAAGCAATTTGTTTTCTGAATCAATCAAGACAGGAGGGAAATTTAACAAAAAAATTGCTTAGAGTGACAGAAAGAAAGTTGGTATACGTGATTCAATGATGCGGTCAGCTGAAGAGAAGACCCACATCGTGGACGATTCCCTACTTCATCTATTATAACGAAAACTATACATCACAGGCTTATTTATTGCCAGTGAAATGAAAATGGAGTTACATTGGCCTATTAGATGAATTGCGGGTCTATTTCTAAAACGATAAAGAGAAGAAATATAGTCAATGGCAAATCATAAACAATAAAATATACCAACTTAAACATACCTGCTTATATGAAGGCTGTAACTCAATAAGATCCTTTGGAACAGGCCACTTAGGATTGGGATTCTCTGGACGAGCTAATTCTTCCGGACTCTGCATTTCATACGAGTTACCGCAGCCAGGGAATGTGCACCTTTCACTGTCTAGAGCAACACAATCAAGGCACATAAGGTGCTTACAAGGTGTAATGACAGGTAACCGACACCATTCTTTGCACCTGGTGGTATGAATACAAGCAAAAACCATTATGCTTTTTAAGTTAAATGAGATCATCAAGACCAGAAAGATAAACAAGCTAACCTTACCTCATGCAATCGCCACCATACGAAATACTATACTTTATCCAGCCATACTCCTGAGACATAGGATCCAGACCATTCTCTACTAAGATATCCATAGTTTCTTGAATATCTTGGCCGGCATCCGTTACTCTAACATGTCCAGCCACACAGCAGGATAACCTAACATTTTTTATTGTGTTAGCCCGAAATTTCCACTGTTTTGGGTTCAATAAACTTTCAACATGAGACGAATCATTCCAGTCAGCCATTAATATATTACGCCGAACTGTTTCTACCAACTCGTTATAACTTTTTGCATGTTCTTCAGAGAAATCCACAAATGTTACTCTTTTTATGCAAGGTGGGATCGCTTTCAGATCTGTTTTCCTTGCACTAATCATGCATCTGTTAAGTAACTGCAGCAAACGTGACCTTCCCTCTTCCATCTCTGACTCAAATGGCCTTAGGATACCTGTTTCCCATGACTTCTGATGCTGTCCATAAGTCTCCTCTTTGAGGAACTTCAGCATTGGTTGGAGATAAGATAGCTGACTGTTAGGAGTGTTGGGAGTTGGAGTACCTGTCAACAACCAGCGGTTAGTGGCAGTCAGCGACACCGCCATTTGCAGTTTGTTTGTCAAACTGAGACTTGAGCCAAGAGTATGCCCCTCGTCCAACACGAGTCTAAGCCAGTGAACTTGCATTAGTACACTTCTTTTACGGGGACCCCACTCAGCACTCAGGCGATTGAAGGTGGTTATCACAACATCATAATCCCAGGCCAAATTGTGAGCAGAAGGTTTTTTCTTTTGATCACCCCATACATAGACTCTCAACTGGCCTGGACTAACATGCCTTTCAATCTGAGTTTTCCAGTGATCGACAAGATTTGAGGGGACAACAATCAAAGTTGCACTTGACAGATAGAACCTGAGTGAGTCTAATGGCTCGCAGAGAGCAATCCTTAGGGAATCCAAATCAAACGCCAGGTTCACAAGACTTCTGGGATAATACCACTTCATGGGACCTTTTTCTACTCTTTTTACAAGGCCAAATGCTTCAAATATTTTGTGATAATCACGAGCAACTCTAGTATCAAATAGTGAGGTTCCTACAACAGGGCTCACCAAACCAGTAGTTTCCATTTCTGCAAGCTTATCAGGTGAAAGTTTAGCCAGCCAAGTCAAAGCTTTCTTTGTCTCAGAATTTATCAATGTATAGTGTTCCTTTAGAACACTAATGAAAAATGATATATTTTCCTCCTGCCCCCCGGAGAATCCCTTGGTATGAAATCCTGGTAGGTATGTGATAGGCTCCTTAATATCCCAGGATTCTTCAGGAACATTACAACTCTGGTATGAAGAGTCGCTGTTCATACTGCAAAACCATGCCATGGAAGTATTTGCTGCATATCCATCTGCAACCTTCCGCCACTTGCTACAAGCCTCACACTGGACCCAAGTTTCGTTATATTCAATTTCATCTGCGGCTGTCTCCTTATCCCTCTTCCTAGTGACAGGTCTCCCACGGCGGGGACCACCTTTTTTGCCCGAATATGCATCCAGAAGATTTCTCTGTGCACTGCTTGAGCTCCTGCTGCACTGCAAGGTGATGGCTGCGGGTGTTGAGCGTGTACCCAATTTAATTCGTTTATTCGAACATGAATCACTGGATTCCTGCATTTGCGCAGTCGGACCAAGAGATCTGGGAGAATTTGTTGCTTTGCCGCTACAGTACTTCTTTGGGGTGAGTTCATCTAGAGATAACTGTCCCCTCCGAGTTTTCTGACCCATAATATTGTTGATAGTTGACATATTACCTCTAGTTATAGTGTCAGCACTGACTTCATAATAGCCACCCCTCTGGTTTCCATCATGCGTACACCAGATCACTTGTACTGCATCTGGGGTTTCTGCCAAGGTTCTTTGTCTCTTCAGAATAAGTGAAAGGGTAGTAATAGTCTTACCTAACCCAGGTTCATCGCAGAACATTCCCCCGCGAAAATCCCTAACCGTCGGCACTACACCGGCTACAATTTCACCAGAAACCACATTGATATTAAAATCAAACCCATCTTGGGTCCTGAAATCCATATAGAGAGGATGTTGTAATACTTTAGAATCACTCTCACGCTGTAACATCCACTCAACTGCAGCCTTCTGATGAGGATACAATTTAAGTTTCATACATGGCATGATGGATGCTGCCAAGTTCCTTAAATGATGGCAGGTCAAAGAAACCTTAACAAGGTCTATTGGGCTAAGTGTAGTTAAAATATTAATCAAAATATCATCTGACAGCACCCAGATGCCGGTATCACAGGATGTGTCAGCTGGTTGTATTATTGTACCATCAAAGTCAACCTTCATTGTCACAGAGGGTAAACTCTGAAAAATTTCCTGGAGTTCAAAGAGCTTTTTTTTCTTAGGATTGTCAGATGCACCACAATGTCGCTTACAGCCAAGGACATGACAGTCTGTTACATTCCAACAATCATCAGGATCCAATTTGACGGACTTGAGCATCAAGCTTCTAGATTCCCAATCACAGCTGCCAGCAACATTTATTAACTACATTAGAATCGGCAGCGAGATAAAAACCTCTAACCCAAGGTAACATTTGGGGTTTTGGTGTATATATGAAATGCATTAAAACCAAAATTCAGAGAAATAGCAACTCAGAGTCATCTTACAAATCAATATCAATTAAGCTGTGGAAGACTGCCATCAAAGTCACTATGGGAGATTCATCAAGTAGAGACAAAAATATAAGTATTTGAATCTGTAACTTAGTGATACAACACGATTTGGCTCGTCATGCTATTCAATTGCAAAATCAACCCAACAACAAGTCCTAGTCCACTTGAGAGGAGAAAAAAAAAGAGTAGTAAAGGTAAGCATGATTTCTGGTACAACTTATATTTATTTCTCCTGTTTTTTAAATGAAAGCAGGCATACGTGAAAAATAGAAAGGTGGTTGCTGCTGATTTTCAAGAACATACTAATATGTGAATATCACCAATACGGATCCTATTTGGAATTTCTATTATTCAGACTACTAATGAATATAATCTTATTTTATAAATGCACTGATGACAACAGAATAAATTTTTAGAGGCCACCCACATCCGTTTAGTGTCTTACATAAAACATTGAAACATTGGTCATAATCTCTTTATTCAACAAGAGCAATTAGATTCTGGTTATTCATCGTCTTGCTACCACAGATTTTATAATGTGCAGTACGGTCAGTCCACTACTTATAATTATATTATTGGGGGTGAGTGTTGTTCAGTTTTCACGACCCACCTTCCTATCCAATGCTCGAGGGAGTACTATCTATCTTCTCCAGTTTCCCTACAAGGTTTCTACTTTCCGTACAGGCTAAAAAATCTATGAAATTCCCCATCACTTGTCATTATGCAGGTAAGCAATACTAGCCTTAGGAATAATACAAGAGCCATTACAAATCTCTCACTACTATTCTCCGTATCAAATACTTAAAAGTAGATCCAACTGAAGCAATCAGTTTATAATCAATTGATTTTTTATTTTTTTTTTATTTCAAGAATGCAAGAGCTTGTGACTGCGGAATCCAATTTACCATCATTGCTAACACAAACAACGACGAGTCTACATCGGCCACGTATAAAAAAAAAAAAAAAAAAAAAAACTCAATTTCACTGCAGAAACTCAGACTAAATAAGCAAAAGAATCAGTAGAAAAGCGCACCTCAAGTGTTTCATAAGCGAGGCAGCAATGGCGCTCGACCGCGGGAACTGCCATCCAGACCACAAATCAACCGGCAAGTAAACATCCACTAAAACCACAGCTCTAATTTCCCTACTTCCACCCTCTGATTCACCCTCGCGTGGAGAGAAACTAACAACACGCGCCGCAATCCGCATGCATTTGTGGGATACGAGGGCGTGCAATTGGTGCACAACGCTAATCGATCCGTGGACCATTCCAAGTTTACTCCACCGCTTCTTCACAGAAGGCGTCGCTTTGGAATCTGGAGCCTGCGCTCCACAAATTGGGGATAAGCGGATTTCATTATCGGCGACGAAGTAAACGTTCGGCGACTCACCGGCGATGCGGCAAATCGAATTTAGGGGAATTGAGGCATCGCCGGGAACTGCGAGCACCGCACGGAAGTAACCGCAGAGCTTGAAATCGGCGGCCGGAGGTACGACGTCGTTCTCCATCTCCTCGCAATTTTTTGGAAGAGATTTTTCTGCTTCGGATTCTGTGGGTTTCTTTCTGATGAATCGGAGAAAGAGAAAAAAAAAAAGAAAAAAAAAAAAGAACGTTTTATATGTATGGTATGTACCAGGGGTATAAATGTCTAAAACCGAGATAGGCAGTGAAATTACAAAGTTGCCCACGGATAAATTGTTTGAGGAGAGAAAAATACACAATGGTAAAACGCGCAGAATAATATGGTAATAAATTAGTGTAGGTTTAATATTAATTATTAACATCACTTTGGGCTGTTGGGCTTATTTTTTAATTTATTTATTATTAAACTTCAACTAGTAATTGTACCCTGCGATGCACGGGACAACAAATTGCATTCTTTTCAAATCATCCCTTTCAATAACATGTCCAATAACATATAAAATGAAATTATTGTTATACATAAAATTTGAAATCTTTGGTATAAATTAATGAAACACATAATTTAACAAAATGAAATTACCTATAAGCTATGATGGAAAAAGATGTAAACTAATTACCACACAGTCAATAGGATGAAGAAGAAGATAAGAAACAAAATCTAAAGTCGGGTTACCAAAAAAAAGAAGCCTTAGGTAGGGAAGAAATAAAATTCAAATGTTGCAGACATTCTGTAAAACGATGTCATAAAATCCGCTAGGTATGAAAATCAGATTTATTTACCATTTTCTGTAAAAATCGAAAATCAGATTATTATAAATAATATCTAGGAGATAAAAATTTGATGAAAATCGATAATAATATTTAAAATAATATTTAGGAGATAAAAAATTGATAAAAGATCAAAAAATAATATTTAGGAGATAAAGATCTGATAAAAATCGAAAATAAACTTTAAAATGATAGTTAGGAGATAAAAAATTGATAAAAATCGAAAATAATATTTAAAATAATGTTAATGAGATAAAAGTTGATAAATACACAAAATAATAATTAGAATAATATTTATGAGATAAAATATGATTAAAATCAAAATTATTATTTAAAATAATATTTAGGAGATAAAAATTTGATAAAAATCGAAAATAATATTTAGGAGACAAAAATCAGATAAAAATTGAAAATAATGTTTGGGAGATAAAAAACTAATAAAAACATGATAAAACTCGAAAAAAAAGTTATAAAAATCGAAAATAATATTTAGGAGACAAAAATCAGATAAAAATTGAAAATAATGTTTGGGAGATAAAAAACTAATAAAAACATGATAAAACTCGAAAAAAAAGTTATAAAATTCGAAAATAATATGTAGGAGATAAAAATCTGCTAAAAGTTGAAAATTATATTTAGGAGATATAAATTTGATAAAATTAAAAAAATATTATTTATTATAATATTTAGGAGAAAGAAATTTGATAAAAATAAAAAAATAATATTTAGGGGACAAAAATCTGATAAAAACAAACAATAATATTTAAAATAATATTTAGGGGATACAAATATGAAAAAATTCGAAAATAATATTTAAAATAATATCAAGGAGATAAAAGTTTGATAAAAATTGAAAAACAAAATTACAAATATGACATTAGGGTTTCTTAGGGTTGCCCTAGCGTTTCTTTCTTTTATATATAAGATTTGTAAATTTTTATTAACGTAAATTTAATTTCAATTTCTTTGGACTTTGTTGGTTGGTACATTTGGGATGCAAACGATCAATTTTTTCTCAGTTTAATACCAGGATAATAGAAAATACGTAATAATATTAATATATTTAATGGAAATCAATGCTAGATAAATGTATAAATAAATATTTTTTCTTTGTTTAAACCACGCACACACAACCCTCATACCCTTCTTTTTCGGCAAAAAAATTTTCTTTTTCACAAACCTTCCCAAAAAACTTCAAAATCCAAAGTAATCAAAATATCACAAAACTTATAAAATGGAGTTACAAGACAATTAAATGGTAGTTTACATGAAATGAAAATTCACTGAAGATGTATCAATATCCTTTTGCGCTTGGAAGTCGATTTTCATAAACAAAAAAAAAAATCAAAACTCGTCGCCCATTTTTGACATGTGCAGGTCGAATTTTTATCTTTTCGACATTACCATGTCTAAACTTGCACAAAAGTCGAAATGTTAGTGTCAAAAATTCAAATGAAAAATAATGTACAAATATATTTAAAAATATTAAAAGGATTCAGATATGTAATTTAAAAACAATTAATATAAAATTTCAAAATTATGTCATATAGAATTTAAAAATTATTTTAAAAAATCTACTTAATTTAATCTTTATATATAAAAGAAAGGTTTGCCTCGAAATCCTAAAAACAGTTTTTTTTTTAAATTTTTGTGAAATATTTGTTTCCTTTATTTTCTCCTTTTTATAACATATTTAAAATTATTTGTTTTTTTTTCCTTCTTTATAGAACACGTTTCGGGTTTTTTTAATTGTTTTTTTTTTTCTTCTTTTTTTTTTTCTTCCTTTTCTTTCCCTTTCCCACTAAACACGGTCAAATTTTTTTCACATTTTTTATGTTAAAATATTTTATTTTTCTTTTTTTCTTCTTCTTTTTTTTTTCTCTTGCAACACTAAATTTTCTCTCATTTTTTATAGGGCAACAGGATCAACTTTGAATTTTTTCTCACATTTTTTTTCTTTTTAATCATTTTCTTTTTCTTTTTTTTCTTTTTTTTCCCTTCCAGCACTAACTTTTTTCTCATTTTCTATAACACACGTATGTGCATTAAATTTTATCGTTAAAATAGATATATAGATTATGATTGCAATTAGTGAAATTTTCACATTTTCGGTGTCCCATTGTTTTGCTATTGTACATTTCATATGTGTTTAATAATTTCTAATTTTACTTATCTTATATTTTTTTTCAATATCCGTTTGTGCAACGCACGAGCCAAAATACTAATTAAAAGATAAATGAGAGATTGGTGTAAGGGTTTTTATTAAAGGTAAAAGGGTAATAAGAGTTTTATCAAAAAAATATGCTTGGAAAACCTTCAACCACTTCAATGTTGGGCAAGTGAGATACACTTTCCGTTAACTTTAACGGATTAATAGATGGCCGCTACAATTGGACAATCCCGGAGGTTAAGTGACCAAAATCGATATCAAAGGAGGGTGAAGATTCAAATGATGAAACCCACATGAGAAGTTAATTACCACTAGGGACGTTCATCCGATCGATAAACGAACCGAACCAGACCAAAAATTCGGTACGTACCGAATATCGAACCGAACCGAAAATTGGGTACGTGCTGAATATCAAAGTTAATAATTACATAAGTTGCCAATAAAGCCCTAGCACGAATAATAAAATATGTACTACTTATTACATACATTATATATGTGTATATATATAATTATAAAAAAAACTTAATAATAAACACCATGCTTAGATCAATAAACACACATTTCTTCTACATCACTACAATGGAGGAGTACCACCTCCATCAACTTCAACCCTCTTATAAACAAACCTCTTGGCAACACAAACATACACACACAAATTGACAACACTCATTCCCGCCAAAACCCAATAAAAATACTCGAGCCCGGCCCGATTGATATTATCCCCGAGCCACTCACCCCCGCCGCCGCTAACGCCGCTAATCCATTGCACAACACTTATCAAACCACTACTCAAAAAACTCCCCACGCCCGTCACCGTAATGTACGCCGCCGCCCCGACGCTCCTCATCCCCACCGGCATCTGCTCGTAGAACAACTCCTGCAACCCCACCACCGTGAACACGTCAGAAAGCCCGCATAGCACGTACTGCGGGACCAACCACCACACCGCCATCGGAACAATCGACCTTGGCCGGTCCAAAAGCCCGTTCTCTACGGCAACGGAAACCCTTCTCGACTCCACCAATGCTGCGACCGCCATCGTCAGGATCGAGAAGGCTAGCCCTGTCCCGATCCGCTGGAGGACGGTTATCCCGGACTGGCGGCCCGTGAGGGCCCGTGATAAGGGAATGAGGGCCCGTTCGTAGAGGAGGACGGAGATGAGGATTGTGAGGCCCGTGATTACTTGAAAGGATGCGGGTGGGATTTGGAATTTCGGGGTGATGGTTCGGTTCAACGTGGAGCCTTGTTTGGTGAAGTACGTACCGAGTTGGGCTATGACCACCGCGAACATTAGGCAGCTCAGCCAGATGGGGACGAGTTGGAGGACTAGCTTTGCTTCTTCGACTTGGTTTACGGAGCAAAGCCTCCACGGGTTTCTTTTCTCGTTGCTTGTTGCGTCTTTTTCGTCTATCATCATTGCTTTGTCTAGGAACCTAAGTAACAAAGCGTAAGGATTAGGGGCGTAAATTGAAAGGATCGTCGAAATTACCATTTTCGAATAAAAAATGATTCTTTTTCGAAAATAAGAAACTAATTCCACCTTTCAAGATTGAAAGAAAATCGAAAAGCAGAATTTCGTAAATTTGAAATATATATGAAAAGGATTGTTTAGAAAAAGAAAAAAAGAAATAGTTTGGATCGAAGTCGTCAGAATTCAAAAATTCCGTTTCTTTATTCTCATATATTATAAATAAAATATTATGATGTTACAATTGTGATTTGGTATTTTTTTATTAAAAAAAATCAGAGATTGATACCTAAATTTTTAATTATGATAAAAGTTAAAAAAAAAATGGTAAAATCGAAAAGTTGAATTTCTTGGAATTAAAACATAAAATATTGTTCCAAAATTAAAAAAAATCAGATGGAAATAAGCTTATTTATTACATTTATTTTATCCCCCCCTCCCCCCCAAATCGATCCTAGTATAAAGGACTCATGACATATGGTATATTGTTATGTTCATATATACTAGTTTTATTATTAGATTATTTTATTTTTTATTTTCTAAAAGTCATAGTATTTGAAAATAAATAATATCTAATTAAATATGAATTATCAATAATATAGTTACAAAATTTTGCCTCCAAGATTAATTAAACAAAACTTTAATATTCGACTTATAATATAAAAATAGAGCATGTAAATTACTAAATCTTAATGATAGGTTTCAAAGAAGAAAATTCCACTCTTAAGTCAACGTGATTCGACAAGCAACACACACCTAATTCGTCAACGTTCAATATATATTATATACATATAAATACCCTTCTCGTAGGTTGACTTTTGTAGAGTAAAATCATTTACAAGAAATTTTTGAAATGATATCTATATCTCGAATCCTAGAACTTGTCAACTCAAAATATTAATCAAATGGCTTAATCTCAATCTGCACCCTTAAAATGCAGTAGTTTGACACTTTACACCTTTAAAAAAAAACTAATAGTATTTTGGACTCTCGAAACACAATAAAACATTTATAGTATATCCTCAATTAAATATTTAAAACATAATGAGAGTAATTTCAGTTTTTATTGGGTTTGTTTTTATCAATTTACAGGGTGCAAAATAACATATTAAAATTGTTATTTTCTTATATCTCCAACATAAATTCAAGCGTAAAAATAATATAAAAAAAAACATAATTAATTAGTGAATCTTTTTTTTATAATTTCTTTTAAAAAAAATTCACTAAATTTATTCAATTGATGGACCTTTTATTGTAATTAATCAAAATATTTGGAAGAAAAAATAATTTTTAAATAACTTGATAACGAATTAAAATAGCTGAAGCATTTTGTTCTTCTTCTTCTTGTTTTTTTTTTTTTGAATAAAAAGTTAAATATATTGATGATTTTTCTTTTATAATTTTTGCAATTTGTAGTTTCAAAAGGATTGTAAATGTATAAACGAATGATTTGACACGTGATTTATAAGCTTTAAAAATTCAACGGGGATGTATTCTACTTTCTACATGATTTATTATGTTTCTAATGTGCTAATTAAGTGCTATTAATATTTTTTAGGGTACAAAGTGCAAAAACCGATGTTTCAATGGTGCAAAGTAGAATTAAACCTTAAGCAAATAGATAGATTGGCTCAATAATTTAGTGGTTTTTTTAGATGAATATTTTAGTGCTCAAACTATCTTATAATTTGACGTTTATAACAAATTATCTTATAATTATATAGTTTTGGTATAAGTTGGAATTCACATACCAAATAACCTAAGAAAAAAGTAAATAATTAATAACAAAAATAATATTATTGTTGGAATTGAAAACACAAATTATCACCCAATAAAAAGGGGTAAATTACGAAAACCCCCTTTAACTTAGATTAAATTACAAAAACCACTTCTACCTATTCGTAATTACCAAAAAACCCTGATACTTGTTTTCGTGTTACACTAAAACCTTACCGTGTGACTTTTTACGGATTTTTTTTATTCCAGGGAATAGATCTACACAATTTTAGATATTTTCTTTTAATTCTCACCTATTTAACAGAAGGAATAATAGATTGTACACATTTTCTATTAAAGAACTCGATCAACGCTTAATCAAAGAGGGATTTTGATTATTACACATAGATGGAGGTGTTTTTCGTTATTTAGCTTAACTTCAGAGGGGTTTTTGTAATTTACCCAAAAAGATGAAGTGGAGAAAACATACCTGAACTGGCTAGTACGAGACAAAGCTCGAACCCCTGCGCCACCGCCAACCAAACCCTCATCTTCACTGCATACGCCACGCGCCTCCCTCTCAGACAACCGCCGCTTCCTGAAGGCGGCGACCACCACCTGCGCCACCCTCGTGAACGGGCTCCCCACCGGAGCCTGGCGGCGGTATCCCCAACTCCCGATCAGAAACACCACGAGGGCGGCGGCGACGGCGGCCGCCAGCATCCCGAAGCCTACGCTCCAGCCGACATAGTCCTCTACGTAGATGACCACGAGAACCGCCGCCGTGGCGCCGCACACGATCCCGACGTACCACCAGTTGAAGAAGGAGCTCTTGGCCAACTTCTCGCTGGGGATGCTCTCGTCGAATTGATCGGCGGCGAACGTCTGAACGCAGGGCTTGTGGCCACCTTCGCCGATGGAGAGAATGTATAGAGCTACGAAGAAAACTGTATGGCGGAGTTGGAGAGGAACCGCAGACACTGCTACCGTCAGCAAAATTAGGCCCTGTAATTAATTAATTAATTAATTAATCCAAATTAAATAAATATTTCGACAAATTACTGCCACCCCTAAGTTATGGTCAAATTATGAAAAACCCCCTATTGTTTGAGTAATTACAGCAATCACCTTAATTATGTATTATCTTACGAAAATACCCCTTCAGATGTAAATTTCGGTACGCCAACATTTCATTCCGTTTACTGAACTGAATATACGACTTGGTTCGGTAAATAACCCGAATTACATAAATTTTGTGTAAAACTATTTAAAAATGAGGGATGGCTGTAATTACCCAAACAAGAGGGGTTTTTTTTTTTTTTTTGTAATTTGGACATACCTCAAGGGTGGCCGTAATTTTCCCTAAATATTTAGAAACAATAATTAAGTATTTCAGAAGTAAAAAAAAAAAATGTTTAATATAGTACAGTTAAACCTTTATAAATTAATGCAGACGAAACTAATAAAATGCTATTCATTTAATGAAATATTAAATCATCAAACTAATATTTTAGTATTTTTTTTTTACCGAATCAGAACCAGAAGGAATTATTATTTAAACCAAATTATTAATTTATCGAACATTAATTTATTGACGTTCTACTGTATAAAGAAATCTCCTACTCGTTTGAAACATAAATTTGAACTTGTCTTATAATTTTTGAAAAATATCACGCCATGATATTAATTTCTTTCCAAAAGTTTTTGCAATAGTTTTATTAAAAGAAATATTTATATCTTTTATTGCAAATATTTCTATTATTGAAGGTAATAATAGCTAGACAATAGTGTAAGGGACAGTGGGTTGTCATTTCTTGAACATAATAGTAAAATAAAACGTGGTTCAAATGATTTCATCCTTTTTAAAATTTAATTTAAAATAAGAGAAATATTATTTTTTTGTATTTATTTTATTGATTAATTCATAGACAAAATTTAGTGTGAGGGTCAGTTGTATCATTAGATCCTTCACCATAATAGTGAATGTGGTTCCCATCTTGCAATTTTAAAATTAAAAATTAAGAATAATTAGAAGGATTAATTTATTACTGTTCCATTGATTTTTAACCCATTAATATTATTTAAAAAACATGCAAATTTGAAAGTGCAATGAATCATATTGTAAGAAACATAATAATCTAATAATTATTGGATTATGTAAAATTGAAATGTAAATGAGAATCAAATTATTGGAAAGATAAACAATATATTGTATTATAATGCATGAAATATATATTTTAATAAATTAATGAACTAAAATATATTAAAAAAAAAAACTTAAGACTGTACTTAGTATGTATTGATTTCTTAAAATTTATTGAATATATTCTATTAATTGACCCAACAATAATTAGATGTTATTTATTAAATATGTCACCAAAGCAGAGTGATATTTTAAATTTTAAAATATTGCATCTTTTAATAGTATAATTTAATTATTCTTTAAATAGCTAAATATTATAAATTTAAATGTTATATAGATATACTTTAGGGGTGTAAGATGTAATTTTATATCGATACCATTTGAGAAAGTGGACGGCTAAAACAAATACCGTTTATTTCTCACTTCAATACCACCAATATAAAAAATAGAAAATAAATAGGTAATGACATTAATACCCTTAATAAAATCAATACTACATAAATTTTATGAGTGGTATTGATTTTTATTAAGGGTAATAATGTCATTACATATTTATTATCTATTTTTTCTTTTTTTTTCGTTACTGGTATTGAAGTGAGACAGAAACGGTATTTGATTTATCTCCTCCCTTTAAAAAATAAATGAATTGTTGAAAATAATTTCCTCGAAACAAGGAGTCAACCATTCATTGAATCTAGTGAGAGAAAAATAAAATCTTGTTTTAAATTTTAATTAAAATGGCGGACAAAAAAGGGATAAAGAAAAGAAAAAAAAAAAAAAAAAAAGAAGTCAATTTTAATAAATAAAATAATAAAGTAGAGAGAGGAAACATACAATGAGGTAAACGACGGAAGAGAAGAGGATAGTCTTGTATCTGCCGACGTATGAGTCGGCGAGGAAGCCGCCGACCACCGGGAAGATGGCGGAGACGCCTTGCCACGTGTTAACATTCTTGGCGGCGGTGGCGGTGGGCTGGCCGAGCACTTTGGTCAGGTACATGAACAGGTTTCCGGCCACTCCATAGTACGCAAATCTCTCCGCCACCTCCACAACTGATCATCAGTTCATTAATTCACACGCATAATTAAATCAAGAAAATACATATCATATTTTAATTACTAAATTATTTATTAAATAAATAAATTAAATTAAATTAATAAGATTTAATTTGGACTTACATATGATGAAAATGGCAGATTTCCAACCACCCCTTGAGGGTTTCTCCAATGTGGAATTTTGAGCCATGGTATTTTGTTGATGAGAAAACAAATAGGGTCTAGTGTGGCTCTTTTTATAGTAGAAGCAATTTAATTTATGGTTTATTGCATTAGATGTAAATGTATTAATTTTAATTGCCAAAAAAAAAATATATGTTATTTTTATTAATAGAATCCCATCTTGTAATTCAATTGTGTAAGCAAACTAAAAAGAGTACATCATAGAGGAATTTTTGCCCATACAGGGCTGAAAGTTGAATGAATCAGATTACAAATCAACTTTTTGAAGAAAAAAATATATTTTTTCGAAAATCAAATTATACTTCTGATTCCGATTCCAAAAGTTTTGGAATTCGAAAACCTATTCTGATTCTGAAAATTTCGGGTAAGTCCAAAAAAACAAATCACTCTTGTAACAATTTTCGGATATTTAATTGGAATTTATCGAAATTTAATTGGAATTTTTGGATTTCTAAAAAATCACAAATAAATTGTCTTTGTTTAGCGAGTTAAATAAAAACTAATCTAATCCCACTTATTAAAATATACAATACGCAATATAATTTTATAAATATAATATTTTTCTGAAAACATCGAAATTGTCTGAATTATTTTTAGATATTAAAACTGGATTCAAATAATTATATATAGTTCCAATTCCAATTCAAAAGAAATCAGAAAAGTCGGAAATCGAAATATCTGATTTCAGAACAAAAATATTTGTTTCAAAGTCGAAAATTTTAAGTCAGAATATACATAATTCAGAAATTCCGTTATGACTTGCACCCTTAGCTGATACATATTAATATCAATGGAATTTTTCGCACAATTTAAAACTTTTCATTTTTACAATTTAGTCCTTCGAATTTGTATCAACATGTTCTTCCCCCCCTATGGCACATGACCATTGAGAAGTTGGGAAGGTCACAAAGCACTTAGAAATGGTAGTGAAAAAAAATTGGGAGACAAACACTAACTAGTATAATTTGATTGAGGTGATGAGTTTGAAAATTTTGTGAGATTCTCAAAATGGGATTTTTCTTTTCTTTTTCCTAATTGATTTAACACCAATATGTCAGGAAAACAGCAAAAGAGAATGAAATTGTTGTACCCTTTCTCATAATAATGGTGGGATGTCATATCTTATATTATTTTATTTTATTTTTTTTTCATACATTTTTTTAGTACTTTGAACCCTATTTACCACATATCTTTGGCAATTTAGAGTCAAATTATAAAATCTTTACATGTTTGAAAATTTATTGTGATGTTATTGAATAGTGGGATTTGATTTTTTATGATTTTTTTAATTTATTTATTTATTTATATACTCAACTTTACACAAGTATTAAGAAACTCAATAAATGGGGCTCGTGTCCGCATGCGTATAATTCAATTGGTTTCGCAGTATTAGGACAAGGCCTTAGGATCGAGTAATGACAGTCGCAGTGTGAAAATTTCAACTGTATAATGAGGGTTGGTTCTTTGTGTGCCCAAGTCCGCTACCCGAACGGGTCGTTGAGTCACCATAATTTGCATTCTTCCTTAAAAAACATGTCGGACCAGGGGATGGGAGCCATGGGGACGAAATATTTCGCTCGCTTTTTGGTGCAATAAATGTAGCTTTTTTTTAGTGAAATTGCATAAAATGAGTAAAATAGCCTTTATCATTTAACAATTTGGAAGAGATAAATAATATTTAAAGTGGAATTAATAATGTTAAAAACATGAAAAATGCATTCAAGAAAATTTAAAGTGACGGATGAATATGGAACGCAAATATTTTTTAAAAGTGACAGCTGTTACAAAAGTTATGGGAGTGTATGTTTTAAGTTGGGAGGCTGCTTGTATCTCAATTTATGAAGATTCTTAAGTATAATCAATTTGGACATAAAATTGTATTTCCAATTGGGTGTAGATTATTAAGATGCTATATTGGATCACAAACACATAGGTGTGTGTGATTATATATAAATCAACGGTTGATAATTATTCGCTGTATTTCATCGAATGTAGCATCAAATAAACCAATAGGTGTACCAATATTGTTTGCTTCATTATATGTGTCTAGACAAGATGAAATCCTTGCAACAATTGTGAGATGATAAAGGACTACAATAAGCATCTTATATTACCTTTTTTTTTTTCTTTTTCCCCTTTTTCATTATTCTTGAAATCCTCTAAATAGATGGAAAATCTTTATTTTCCATTCTTTTAGTAATTCGTTTCACCTTTTTCGGCAAAATATATCCAGATAGATAAAAACGATTTTATTTAACTTTTACCTTTAAAAAAGTTCAGACGATATACGTGATTGCTGGGGAAAAAGATTTAAAATCTTGAAATAGATAAATATTTGATTAAAAAACTCAGTATTTAACTAATAATAATTGATCCAAAACATTTCACTCACATCAAATTCAAGAATAAGTATAAACGTTTCCGGCAACTAATTTAGATTATGTTAATTAATATAACTATGACCCAAATGCAAGAATAAATATAAAAAAAAAATCCAACAAATATTTAAAATACGTCAAATAATATTATTCGGACAACTTCAATTGTTGAACTATTAATATATTTTAAATATCATTTAATATTATAACTAATATACAAAAAATAAAAATATATTTAGGGCCCTAAATTTTTCAAAAATTCGGCGACTATTCTTTTTTTGCTTACGGTCAGAACCGGCCATGTGAGTTTTCAAACCAGCCCTTACTATATATTTTCGATTCTCTGTATTAATTCATATTATTTCAACTCGTATTGACGAACAATAATATATATCAAGCATATAATTTTTTAATATTTATTTTATAAATGTAGTAATAACTTATAAGCACCTTGGCGTAATGTTGATATTTGATTAGTTAATTAATATTTCCAAAAGAGGATCCACTGACCGACAGATGCCGGTAACAAGGTAAAGATTAAGGTGGTGTTTGTAAAAGCTTATTTAAAGCGAACGTTATGAATTGTGAGTTGAGTTGATTTTAAAGTGCTTATTTTTTAAAGTTTGGGGTGTTTGTAAATTTATTGAAAAATAAACTTAAATAAAAAAATCATGGGTCATGGGTACTTAACAAATTATGACTTAAATTGCTTATTTTAAGATAAGTAAAAATAAAAGTTCATTTAGCAAACAACTAAAATTAGATTATGAATAAGAAAAAGCTCATAATCTATTCGTGTAAAAGTTTTTGCAAATACCACCTAAGACAACATTCGACTATGTAGATTCAACCATTACCATTATATAAATGTGCACTAATTACTTAAGTGGCTCATAGAATTACCATAATATAACATTTTTTTTCGAAAAAATATTCCTTGGTGAAGAATGAAAATAAAAACAATACACAATCCGAACACACCTCGATAAAAAATGTATAAAACCCTTGATTGAAAAACCATTTACAAATTCCAATTAGCGTTTTCTGATCTGAAAAAAGGAACAAGGTTTTTACTTCGTGAAGAAAAAAAACGGTTGATTTTGGAAAATCGAAGTCTCCGGGACCTATTGTTAAGAATAATGAATTAGTATTTTCATTAATAGCATTTAACCAATGTTTTAATCGAAATTTGATTTATATTCGATAATATTTCCAAAATATAAAGTTTCAACCTCTGATTTCGAGAATAGGATTAGGCGAATAATTGTATCTACATCGATCCAAACTACCCCATATCAATTTCACTCAATTAATAATGGTCCTCACTTCCCTTTTCTTTTCTTTTTTCTTTTGTTCTTGGTCGAATAAATAAATGCATGAAATATTTTGTGCACAATTCTTGTTACAATATGAATCAAATATTCTTGTGTTTACTTTATTCATATACACTAATTCATTTATACCAATTCAACACCAATAATAAATTAATTACTTTAAATTAATATTCCTCAATTACTCTTGGAAATTTGATCTCTCCGATGATATTTTTGTCTTTACAATTACAATAAATAGAAAGGATTCCTCCTTTTAATAGATATAAATATAGATATAAATATAGATATAGAATAGATATAAATATAGGGCTATTGGAATTCCACCTAACTAATAAAATTCCGATGTGCGATTGGAAGATTTGATTACGATCGACATACTAGTTATATAGTATCATAAATTAAAGGACTTGCACGAAATTGACATATATCTAAATTAATGCTATTATTCAATAAAATCAATAGTCGCCCTACGACATGCGATTAATTTTATAGGTACTTACTGAAAATTATAAAAAAATATTTTATTCCTAAATTATACAAACATCATAAGTGAACAAAATACATCTCAAAAGTTCAATTTCAAACACATTTGGTCATCTCTGTCACATGCGCGTGAGATGCCAAGGAAAACCACTATTTTGGGGCTCAAATTGAAAGTTAACATTGTTTTGGGGCTAAAAATAATTAAAATTTTTAAAGTACTAATCATAATTTAAAAAATTAATATTAAGTATAAATAAAAAAAATATACTTGAATAATATTTAATCTTCACAAACAAAAATGTAAAAATTGTATATTAAAAATATAAATACATTAGAGAAAAAAAAAAGTTGAATAATATTTTACTTTCAACAAACAAATGCAAAAAAAATATATATTATATATAAATACATTAGAAAAAAATTAAGTAATATTTCAATTTTAACAAAAAAAAAAATGCAAATGTAAATAAATCAAAAAAAAATTAGAAGGAAATTTTTTGCCCAACTGTCATCTTTGTTTTGACTCTGGCGACTCTGACCGGTCCGGTGAGAAGTGGAGTATGGTGGCGGAATCCGCCAGAGAATTCGACGGCGGCGGCGGTTTGGATGGGAGACGTACGAGGCGACGGTTTGGATGGGAGACGTAGGAGGCGACGATAAGACAGTGGATAGTACCATTTATATATTGTTTTTAATTATAATTAGTACTATAAAACTTTCATTGTTTTTTAGTCACAAAACGATATTAAATTTCAATTTTAGACATAAAATAGTGTTTCCCCTAGCATCTAATGCTCATGAGGACCAAATGTGTTTAAAATTGAACTTGAAGTGTACGTTATTTACTTTGAAACAATAAGGACCAAAAGTAGAATTAGATGAAACATAAGGGACGGAAAGTATAATTCGCATAAATATATATATATATATATATATATATATATATATATATATATATATATATAAAATTTGTCTTCACATACTAAAGTGTATTTTTAAAAATATAGAACCATGAATTTAATATTGGTGGTGTAGAATATAATTGTACTGAAAACATAATTAAATTAATGATACGACTTATCATGCAAAAGTGCTTGTGGGATTCGACTGTCGCCACCATAGCCATGCATGCATCCTTAGATTCTATTCCAATCAACAACAACAACAAATTTCTTTTCTTTTGATTTTTGGTTTAAGAAAAGTTAGACAATTATTTCTAATTAAAAATTGGTTTTTTTCCAATTATAGTATAAATAATCTTCAACTGTATTAATTAATAAGAGATTGATTATAAATGTAAACGAGTCGAACTCGAGCACGCTCCTACCTAAATGTCTAAGACTCACGAGTTGGCTCGTGAATTTTTGGAAACCTAAGCAAGTTTTTTTTTTTTTTTTTTTTTTTTTTTTGAATAACTTTTACGTATTATTAATAGTATTTTACTATTTTATTGTATATATATGTGTTATAAAAGAAAAAAAAATTAAAAATATACATTAATTTTCCAATATTATTATTATTAATAATCACAATCCTATTTGAAAATAAATATTCTTGATTTTGTTTCCTAAACTATTCTTGCAGTTAATTATCACAAACTACCATCAATTAACAAGTTTATTATGTAACTATGTAATAAAATTGAATTTGAATATTTTTTTTCTATTCATGTAATTTTTTTGATATTTTTTTTTTCAAAATTAGATTGTTACAAATAATTTTAAGATAATAATTTTGATTTTCAACTTCGTTAATAAATTTTTTTCGGCTCAATAAGTACATTTTGCATGTGATTTGTAATATATTGCGTGAGAATTAAAATTACTTGGTGCACCTATAATGTTAGTATTTTATAATGTCCCGTCGAGTTATTTTTCAGATCAACTCACAAAAATTCAATAAGTCCTCAATTGAATAAGTGATTTGCTACATGTATCATAAAACACGCGTTATAGTGCCTTAGTCTCGATAAAAGTACTCCGACGTTCAAGTCAGCTTCGGGTTTAAAAAAATAGAGAGAATCTCGAGAATGCATAATAAATAAATATTACCCATAACGGCGATTACGTTATTTATAGTCACGATTAATTTAATTATGGGCTGATTGTCCACAATAAAATAAAACTTCGTAAGTTGGGCCTGATTTTGGAATTGGGCCGTAGGTTATAATTATTTGGCATAGATAAGTGAATGTTGGGCATTGATGAGTCAATGGTTGTTTCCAACATAGAAATCCGTTTTAGGGTTATTTCTATGCTACATTCGTTGATGATTACATCGGCTGATTTTTTATTGTTGATATACACACGCAAATATGAGTATGTGTGTGTTTGTGTGTATATGAATGGTAAAGATCTACCCAATACAGTATAAAATAGACATTTGTTTTAGTAAATGATTTATATGCGTAGAAATATCAAAACACGTTTACAAGCAAAAAAGAGATAAATATATGATTATTCTTACTGAAATGATTTGTGCAGGCACATATTAAACAGTCAGGCACATTTTTTACCATTCTTCAAAAAACAAAAAGTAAAAAACTCAAAAACTCTCTCTACCCTTTCGATTTTCTTTCGCAAAGCCCGTGCAAATCGTCAACAGATCGGAGGTAATTTTTACGTTTTTACGATCCTCTTGTTATGTAGATTACGAATCCGAAAAAAAAACGAAAAAAATTGAACTTGGCCACGCTCGCGTGAATTTACACGAGCGCATCCACTGCGCTCGTGTAAATTCACGCGAGCGTATATATTTTTTTTTATTTTTTTTATAAATTTAAAAATTCGACTTTTGGCTTGCTCGCGTGGATTTACACGAGCGCATCCACTGCGCTCGTGTAAATTCACACGAGCGTTTAATTTTTTTTATTTTTTTTTATAAATTTATTTCTTGAAAATAATCGGACTTTTGGCTTGCTCGCGTGGATTTACACGAGCGCATCCACTGCGCTCGTGTAAATCCACGCGAGCATTTTTAATTTTTTTTTTTTTAATTTTTTTTTTTATAAATTAATTAGTTGAATTATAAGTTGTGCTCGTGCAAAAACATGCGAGCACTGTTGAAATGCTCGCATGTTTTTGCACGAGCACAACAATTTTTTTTTTTTTTTTCATTTCATTATTTAAATGCTTTTTTTTTTATTATATGAAATATTAATAAAGTGCTTATTTAAAATGTAGATGGCAGGAGGCCGGGGGGAAAGTCTTATGAGTCAAGTTGCTGGTAAAGGCAAGAGCTTAATGAAAGCCTTGAGCGGGAAGGGGGACAATCCAGAAGATCCGGATCGCATTGGAGACCGAGATGTCCTTGTTTCCGCCCGTAGAAGAAAGCAGTTAGCTCGAGAAGCAGCGTTACAACGGGAAGAAGAGAGACTGAGACGAGAAGTCGTTGCAGCTGGAGCCGGACCCTGTGGACCGACACGCGATCTCCAGCTAGCTCGTAGTACATTGCCACATGCCGACGACGATGATGACCACAACAACAATCCCGATAATATGGATACTGACGAGGAGATGGAGGAAGATGATGAGCCAGCAGATGTATATCAGGATCGTAGAGGTGGTCGTGCCTTACCCTTTCCGCAGCTGCCTGGTCCGGCGTACTTGGAGGGTCCGTGCGAGGGAGGGCCAGAAAATTACGAGTTTATGCGATGGTTCAAGTCGCATATAGCGATGTACATTTGGGAAGGATATGTAAGTTTTTCTGTCAACACGTGCTTTGCATAATTCTTATATTATTCATTTTTTTTAGCTAACAATACATGCAATATTTTTCAGGAGCGCCGTGAAACTACACGGTGCGAGTCGAGGACCAAAGCACTCGAGGACTACCGCGGCCTGCAGGATAACACGATGATTGCGAGGCTGGAGGCAACAGGTCTTTACCACTTACGAGACTGTTTTCTGAAGAGGATGAACAAGAACCTCATGCTAGCTTTCGTGGAGATGTGGCAGCCGGAGACGAACAGTTTCCACATGCCATGGGGCGAGATGACGATCACGCTCCACGATGTCGCTTTCATCCTGGCGTTGCGGCTGGACGGACAAGCAGTGTCTGAAATTCGCCCGGTAGAAGAGTGCTCACAGAGTCTTGCATCTGTATTGGGTGTCGGTCTGATGGACACCAATGAGATGTTTCGAAACAAGGGAGTTGGTTGGGTTAAGGTGAGAGATCAGTTGACCCTTCCCTCCGCCACAGACGACAAGAAGATGAAGGGCTACTTGATGTTTCTGCTTGGGTCTGTTTTGTTTGTAGACAAAACAGCGTGTAACATGAAGCCGTGGTGGATCCATTTTACCAACGATCTCGATAATGTCGGCAAGTATTCGTGGGCTTCGGCATGCTTAGCAAACATGTACCGCCAATTGGGTATTGCCACCCACGCTGGGATGAACAGTCTCTGTGGATGTGTTATTCTCCTTCTGGTACGTGTACCTTTATTAGTAATTATTTATGTATTTAAACTTCTATGTAGGTAATATCAACAACGTTTCATTGGTTTTTGTTTGCAGTGTTGGATCTTTGAGTATTTCCCCTGCTTTCGACCACCTCTTTCCCGTTCATATGCCGAGTTTGAGCCTCGATGCACAAGGTGGGCCCATGGTGGAGGCAATAAAACCACGCTGCAGGAATACCGGAAAATACTCGACGCCATGAACGAAAGAGATGTGAGTAATAATTTTTCTAATTATGTCTATAGTAGAGTTACGGATTTTTCTTAGTTTAAAATATGCTTAGGTTTGTTGGACCCCGTATGGTACCGGTGCACATTACTTGCATCCTCGGAGCATGTATTACGGCACGATACAGTTCATGGATATAGTGGAGCCGTACATGCCCGACCGAGCGTTGCGGCAGTTTGGAAGAGTCCAGACTATTCCTTTCCCGATAATTGAATCGAACTTGCCACATAACCGCGGCTTATTTGGCGCGGGATACAAAGTCACTTTCCACGCTCCTGGCGGCTTGTGGCAGAACGAGTACGCCAACTTCATTGACCTGTCGCAATACCCTGAAGCCTGGCCGCCGGAAACAGTTGCCGAGGAGTACATGAAGTGGTACATCGAGCGGACGCACTGGTTCATTAGCAACCCTGATAGAGTTCCGCCTGCAGAACGGGTTGTTGCTGCGGTGCCGCCAGACCAGCCGTTCGCCAATGACATAGCTCGGCTCCTAGTTCCGATCGTGTTCGGTTTGACTGGTAACGACGCATCAGAGGCATTCCTGAGCATTCAGCCGCAGTTGAGGGACTTGGTGACGCCACATGCCCACTATTTGCGTCTCTTACCTAGGAGGGGTCGCGGGGGAGGTCCGATGACTCGGGGTCGGGGGTCGAGGGGTGGACAGTAGGACATGTTACCTATTTGCATGGACTTGTGTATTAGTTTCGGATTTTTTGCACCTGACTATTGGTATTCGGTGTTGTGATTTGTTGTTTGTTTTCGGATTTAGTTTTTTGTACGGATGTTTCATTTTGGATTTGCGGATTTTTCTTATTTGCCCGTATTTTAATTACGTTGTTATTGGACTTACTTATTTAGTTATTTGTACGGATTATAATTATGTTGTATCGAACGAAATTATATTTTAATTTGTATTATTAACGAGTAAAAGAAAAAAAAAACAATCAAAAAAAGATAAAAAAAAAAAAAATAGTGTGTTGCTCGTGCGTTTTCACACGAACAGAGGTGTGCTGCTCGTGTGAAAACACACGAGTACAATGTCCCTGTTCGTGTGTTAACACACGAGTACTTTTCCACGTCATTTTTTTTTAATTTTTGTTTTTAAAAAAAATCGAAAAAAAAATTAAAAAAAAATTAAAAAAATAATATGTTCGTGCGTTTCCACACGCACAGAGGCGTTTTGCACGTGTGATTTCACACGAGCAGAACACCTCTGTTCGTGTGAAAACGCACGAGCAACACTATATTTTTTTTTTTTTTTATCTTTTTTTGATTGTTTTTTTTTATTCTTTTATTCGTTAATAATACAAATTAAAATATAATTTCGTTCGATACAACATAATTATAATCCGTACAAATAACTAAATAAGTAAGTCCGATAACAACGTAAACAAAATTACAATAATACAGTACTACCTATGCCTAGAAGTCAACGTCGTCCAAAAAGCAAGTCGATCCGCGTAAAAATCTCGTAGAGGTAGTAAATTGGGAGCTGGAAAATACCTCCAACTGAGGATGGAGACGAGGAAGAGGGCATGGAACCGGTACTCGTATGATCATAAAATGATCGTTTTGTAGCGACATAGGAATAATACGTGATAACGCGGGGTTCCCAACTAGTGGTAGGTAAGGGATGCTACCCCGTTCAGTGAATATTAATACCATTGCGTTGTATCTTGTAGCGATCGCCAACCCCATATATGTTGACATCCATTTCGTCCGTGGCGCCGGTCCCCTCTCATGACTGCATGTCAAGATATAATCAGCGACTGTATTTCGACCCCCCTCATCCCCACCAAAAATAGTAGCATATAGATTGTAACGCTCCATAAACTCCTCAACCAAGTCAGTTCTGACTTGTGGCCATCTCTCTTGACTGCCGTAAACAACTTCGGCTATGCACCGGTAGCCACAATTTCCATCGGCCCTCACATTAACATATGAGGCTACGGACTGTGCGAGAAACGGAGGAAGGAAGGAAAAGAAATTGACCCGGTCCCCGGCAGTAACAACTGATTCTTCCGTCGATTTAGTACGTCCGCGAGGACGACCTTTAACCTTTGACTCTGGCGTACCAGCTTTAAATTTTGACTCTGGCGTCCTTTCGGTCGGGGTTTTGCGACCCTTAGAGCCCGAAGAAGATTTAACTTCGGATTTCCGATTCATCATGTGCTCATATCCGGACAAGTTCCTCTTCATCGAGTTATTCTTAGGTCGTCCCTTGGCCTTCACAAATGACGGCTCTTGTAAATGCGTTGAAGAAGGATTATTTAGGTCCCGTAAATAGTCGGCCGCATTTTTTAGGGACATGTAATCTTTGTTTGATAACTTCTCGAACTCATCGAGAAGAACTTTCTTAATTGCAACTGTGCGATCAAACGGTTCCTCCTCGTCCTCCCATGGATCCGACTTCGGCTCGACAGCCAACGTTCTCCAGAATGGATGTAACTGTTGCGGATAAAAAGTATCTCCCTCAGCAATTTTAACTGCAATCATACACGCACACGGGAGTCCGTGGGTTCGGCTTAGGTAACAGTTGCAACTATCCGGATTCTTTTCCAACTTTTCGTACTCTTTATCCAACAGGTCCAGTGCTTTTTGTGATACGTTACATACCAAAGCACCGAAGCACGACAGTGAAGTACTGTACATCCTGGCTGTTCTACTGCTTTCGTTTTCCACCTTCAATTCATTAATTTGAAGGTCAACTTGCGCATCTAGTGCATTTTGAACTGTATCCATAGCTCCAGTCGATGTTTGGATCCAACGCTTCGATGCACGATGTGCACTCTCTACCATGTTTCGAGAAAACACTCAAATAATGAATAAATGTAACATGTGTATAAAAGATTGTACGTAACAAGTTTATAGTAAAATCAATTTATATATCTGTTAGTCGTCGTGTTACCGAAATGAACGATATTGTTGGTCCAACACTTAACAAATCTCTCCTTATAAATCAACCACATTTCATTGATGTAAGTTATCAACTTCGGATATTGCCCGTACAAACTAACTATCTCTCTATAGTTGCATTCGTATTCTTCCTCAGTCTCAGATTCGACTAACTTTGCCCACACCGTCCTCCGGAACAGTACACCCAACTTGGTGTTACCCAAGAATTTTGACGTGTTTGCCTCAACGTTTCTGTTTATGTGATATAAACATAACATGTGATGCGAATGTGGAAACACGTTTGGCAATGCTTTCAGTAGGCCCAACTCACGATCTGTCAGTATCACTTCTGGTTCTATCCCGATTGGTAATATGTCTCGCAAACATCGCAATGTCCATGCATAAGTGTCCTCATCTTCACGTGACATAAAAGCAACGGCAATAGTGAAGTTCCTTCCCACGGGAGTAACCCCAATGATCTCCAAAAGAGGCATTTCATATCTACATAAAGGTAATTATAATTTAGTCAACTCTTATATATATATATAATATAATAAATGTAATTCACATTTAAATAATTATTACCTGTCAGTCTTGTACGTGCAATCCATCAGGATGACGTATGGAAATAACTGCAAAAGCTTTATTGTATCAGGGTGCGCAAACATAACGTCTTGCACTGCATCACCAACTGGATTTGTTCGATGCCATTTGCTGTATCCACTCTCACTTAGTTCGTGCCACAGATGTTGTATAACTGTTTTTCCTTTCATTTCCTCTCGTCTAATTTTCTGTGATTCATTGTACACATCTCTCAAGGCCGCAGCCGTATCCGGATTCATCTGTCTCAGATGATGCAAAATTTCCTTTGGCTTCACATGGCTCTTTTTCAGTATCTTTTGTTGGAATTTTCATGATTTCCAATAATTAATATTGAGTAATATTAATTTAATTATGTAAAGATTAATTTCATTTATTTACTTGATCAAAATCATGAAGTAAAGTGAATGAAAATTGTCTTGATTAAATGGTTAAAGTTCAAAAGATGTGCGCTCGGTGTGATCGAGTGATAGGAATAGTTTAGGTTTAGACGTCCACAAATATTACTTTTAGGGACATTTAGTAGTTAGTCAAATTATTTGAACCAAAATTCAAATAATAAAATACTTGGCCCAAACCAAATTAATTAATTGGCCCATGACCAATTAATTTTCCTATGTTTTTTGAACTCGGTAAAAAGAACAGACACAACCTTCTGCTTCTTCTTCCAACCATTGCATCCCTCTGTGAATGGATCTCTACAACCTATAAATAAAGGCATAATCTGGCCAATTCTGTACTGAATTTAATCGGCAATTGAGAGATAGTTCTTCATATTTTTCTTTCTCTTCGTCAAAGTTCCGTTCGTTGTTCAAGTTCGCCGTGGGTCGAATATTCGTGCAAATATTCGACAACCGATCGTTGTACCTTGGGAGACTACTGGGAAGAGACTGTGCACCGTTGACAACCCAAAAATATTGTCTTAAGGGAATTGCTTTGGCAAGCCTCGATCGTTCTTTGTGTTTTTGACAATTTCTCTTTTCGACAAACAAGTAAGTAGTTTTTTCGTTTACGCAGATTGTTTATAATTGTACCAACAATCTTAAGACAATACTTTTCGTATATGTAACATCTGCGGAAAACAATTGGTTTCCAAAATCGTTTAACAATTTATTCTGTTTCAAACCTAGTGTTTATCAATATTTTCTTAATTGTCTGTGTAAACATATTCTGTATATATAATTATATGTTTGGTTGAATATACATTTTTTGTTGATAGAAAATTTGACATGATTGTCTGGTTTCGAAATCAGCAAAACCATTTATTTTCAAATAATTTAATCAAATGAAATTTTGACTTGTGAGTATAATAGAGTCAATTCATGTTTTAATAAACTGGAAAAGAGCATGGTCCAGAAGACTATGCATACGTCATCTTGAGTATTTTAATATTCTGTATATTCATAATATCTACTTGGTTCAAAGGAAGTTTTGAAGTAAAATACAAGACATAAATTCCAAGATGGCTTCAATCAATGATACGAACTCTAAGGTCGTCGGCGCGGCCGAAAAACCAAACAAGTTTATGGGAACGGACTTTGCTACTTGGAAGAACAAAATGTTTTTCTACCTTACTACTATGAATTTGGCTAAGTTTCTCAATGAGGAGGCACCTAAGGCGAATGAAGGAGAAACTCCCGAAAATAACAAGGAAGTCTTCTTAGCCATCGATGCGTGGAGTCACTCTGATTTCCTATGTCGTAACTACATCTTGAATTACTTGGACGAACCGTTGTACAAAGTTTATAGTCCTATAAAGACTGCTAAACTTTGTGGGATAGTTTGTCCAAGAAATACAAGTCTGAAGATCCGGGATATAGGAAATTCATAGTAGACAAATTCCAATTTTATCGAATGGTCGATAGCAAAACTGTGAGTGAGCAAGTGAATGAACTCCAACTCATGATCTACGATATTCTCGCCGAGGGTCTTCATGAGCTGAGTGAATCTTATCAAGTGGCTTCCATAATTGGAAAGCTTCCACCGAGTTGGACGGAGTTCAAACACTACCTAAGGCACAAGAAATCGGTTGCCAAATGGACGATGGAGGAACTCATAGCAAGGCTCAAGACCGAGGAGGATAGTAAAATTACCTACAAGGGTGGTCAATTCGTGGCTAAGGCACACGTGGTGGAGAGCTCGAAGCAGAGCAACAAGCGAAAGGGTCTTACGTTTAACAAAGGACCAAATAACAAGAAGAAAAGGTTCACCGGAGCGTGCTTTGTTTGTGGAAAGAATGGACACCTTGCGAAGGATTGCCGCCACCGCAAAGAAAACAATAAAAATGAAGCAAATGTCACTGTGGACTTAGCTACTTCCGAGAACGACAACGTGCACCTTTCGGCAGTCGTAACAGAGGCCTACCTATTGAGTGATACTCGAGGATGGTGGGTAGACACCGGGGCAACTCGTCACATTTGCTATGACAAGAGCATGTTCTCCTCCTATAAAAAGTTGGAACAAGAACAAAAGCTCTTCATGGGAAATGATGCTTATTCGGTGGTTGAAGGACAAGGACAAGTGATCCTAAAATTCACTTCCGGAAAGGAAGTTACCTTGAACGATGTGCTACATGTTCCGGATATTAGGAAGAACTTAATCAGTGGTTCTATCCTAACCAAGAAAGGTTTCAAGTTGGCTTTTGAGTCGGACAAATTTGTGCTAACCAAAGGAAGGTTCTACGTCAGAAAAGGGTACCTATGTGACGGTCTCTTCAAGGCGAACGTAGCCGTTATCGGCAAGAACTAAGCTATTACATTTATATTAATAATTTTTAGTTTATATGGTTTATTTGCATTTTGTGATAAGAGTTGTAAGAACTTATTGTGTTGGAAAATGTCGTGTGTAAAACAAGGTTTTATTATACAAGTTTTTGACTAGTATATATATATATTTTTTTTAAATTGCCCTATGTTTTACAAGTTTGTATGAAATTTAAAATTATTAAATCATATAAATATTTTATTCTTTCTTTTGAAACAATATTGTTTTCAATCCAATGACTTGGTTGAATTTGGGCATAATCAATATTTATTTATACTTCAAATAAGCACTCATGAGTGGTGCTTGATTTCTTTGTTTTCAAAACTTTTAAGTTAGTTCTTGATTTAAACGGTGCAATATGATTCTGTCAAATCATATTGTGAGTATTTTCTCAATAAAATTAAAATTCTTAAAATTTTGAGTTTGATAAAAAGGTAGCAAATGCGTATTTGTGAAATACAAAATAAGAAGATAACTTCTTAAATCCGATAGAGCGGATAATATGAGTAATTTATTTGTGTGCATGGAAAAATCATTGCACCCTATTCACATCAAATGGGGTAGTCAAATGGGAAATCATGATATAAAGACACGATTAAACTTGAGTTTACCGAACAACTTGTGGGGGAAACTCCTTGTGTGTCTAATGACATATTAAATAGAGTTTCACACAAGATGAACATTCCTTATGAGTTATGGAAATATATATAATTGAACTATAAATATCTCAAAATGTGGGGGTATTTGACTACAAGTTACATATGTTTGTATATCCATTGAGGGATATAGTGAGGCAATATAATTGAATATAATCAATTAATAATTGCTCTTATACTTTAATAAGTCTTGACATATTCGTCGTAAACTTATAATGTGAGACATTTACTCTCGAATGAAATAATTGATTTTGTGAAATCCATAGATAACCGAGCGGATCCATTTAATAAGGTTTATCTAGCGAGAGAGTTGAATGTGCGTCGAGGGGAATAAGTTTAAAGCCTAAATAACTAAGTCACCTTATACGGAAACCTAACTTGGCGACTGGAGATCCCACAGACCAAATTCAATAGGACAACCAATTCTGTGTAACTTAAATGAATGGAGCACTTAGGAGTTTTAACTCCATCTTATTCCTATGATGCAATAAGTGCAACCTACGACGTTCAAAAAGGTTAAGCTATTGCTTTTAATGACGTCTATATCTTGTAAATTACAAGTGGGGTATAGTAGGATACTCTTTATAGATGCAGTCACCTATGTTAGTGTGAGCTGGGTCGGCTCGTTGAGAATTCTTAAAGGCTGGAATTCTCTAAAGCACTCGCAGAACCCGAGGATGTCCAGGGCCAAAACGAACACGAACTTGAACAAGTTCGTTTAGTATGGTGTTAAGTTTATTGTCTTGGTTTACACAAACAGCCGACGGTTCAAGATGAAATAATTCACCGATTGGCTAAGTAAATCCGATAAGCTTTAACTAGGGAAGGTTCAAGATGAAATATTTCACCTATCCCGATGCTGTACTATTCACTAAGGAATTTTGACAAATAGATCTAATGCTATAAGATTGGAAGAACAATTTTATTCACGTGGGGATTGTTGGAATTTTCATGATTTCCAATAATTAATATTGAGTAATATTAATTTAATTATGTAAAGATTAATTTCATTTATTTACTTGATCAAAATCATGAAGTAAAGTGAATGAAAATTGTCTTGATTAAATGGTTAAAGTTCAAAAGATCTGCGCTCGGTGTGATCGAGTGATAGGAATAGTTTGGGTTTAGACGTCCACAAATATTACCTTTGGGGACATTTAGTAGTTAGTCAAATTATTTGAACCAAAATTCAAATAATAAAATACTTGGCCCAAACCAAATTAATTAATTGGCCCATGATCAATTAATTTTCCTACGTTTTTTGAACTCGGTAAAAAGAACAGACACAACCTTCTGCTTCTTCTTCCAACCATTGCATCCCTCTGTGAATGGATCTCTACAACCTATAAATAAAGGCAGAATCTGGCCATTTCTGTACTGAATTTAATCGGCAATTGAGAGATAGTTCTTCATATTTTTCTTTCTCTTCGTCAAAGTTCCGTTCGTTGTTCAAGTTCGCCGTGGGTCGGATATTCGTGCAAATATTCGACAACCGATCGTTGTACCTTGGGAGACTACCGGGAAGAGACTGTGCACCGTTGACAGCCCGTAAATATTGTCTTAAGGGAATTGCTTTGGCAAACCTCGATCGTTCTTTGTGTTTTTGACAATTTCTCTTTTCGACAAACAAGTAAGTATTTTTTCGTTTACGCAGATTGTTTATAATTATACCAACATCTTTGTCACTTCTCGTTGCTCTTCACTCAGACGACTTAGCGAACGTAGTCCTTGTGGATATTTATGAGGAAAATGATTGTGATTGCCATTTTTTATGGTAAGGCGCCATAATCCATCACGACCCTTTTTACCCCATAGCGCAAAAGGGCATTTACACTTTATTGAACCGGACTTCCGGCTTGTTTTGACCTCTGCATTTTTTCCTCGACTCTTATAGGCTCTTTTACAAGTCAAATATGGTAAGACTGTCGCCTAATCTCATGTCCTTGACTGATGGCCATATTCATCGCCCACTCGACTAGTGCATCTTTACTATCAAATGCAGTCGAAATTGTGAAAAATTCACTGAAATCATGTAGCTCGAATGTTTCAATATCTTCATCCACATCTATATATACTTCCTGTTTTTATATTACTGTAGTTAGCAAATTATAAAACTAAAGAATAAAACTCAAAAAAAAAAAAAAATTAAAAATTTGTGTTGCTCGTGTGATTTCACAAGAACAGAGACGTTCTGCTCGTGTGATTTCACACGAGCAAACCTTCTCTGCTCGTGTGAAATCACACGAGTGAGTTAAAAAAAAAAAAATTTGTTCATGTGCTCGTGTGAATTTACGCGAGCACTTGGCAAGTGCTCGCGTAAATTCACACGAGCACATGAATAAAAAATAAAATTCATCTCCTCGTGTGAATTTACACGAGCACTTGCCAAGTGCTCGCGTAAATTCACACGAGCATATAAGGTTGTGGGAAAAAAACGAAAAACTTACATTCGGGTCTAAGTTGTTTGGATCCATTGCAAAAATTGTTGAATATGTGAAATTTTTCACTTTGAATGTTGAGTTTTATATTTTATAGGATTTGGTAGGAATAGTATAAAAGGTAAATAGTTATGGTAAAAAGGTAAAAAATCATGGTAAATAAGTGTCTGAATGTTTAATTTGGCCTACGTATATCATTACCCTTATTCTTATAAACATCCTCAAATTTTTACATGTTTACGGAAACAACGTGAAACGTTTCAGACGAGTGTCTTGACGTTTTGGTTTTTGAACTACGACGTTAAACGTGAAAACGCGTCTCCACATAAGAATATGTGGGTCCTAGATTGACGTAATTTGGTAAGGATTTTATAATAAAGAGAGGGAAAAGATGACGGTTAAAGATATAAATTAAATAAAATTAGATAAGGTTGATTATTGAATTAGACATATGAAAATTAGCTGCGACTTACATCCAAATTTAACTATATTCAACAATAATTGAATTTGCAACCGAAATTAAAGTTTACTTTCTATGTTATTTAGATTCGTAGAGTAAATGTTCGGAAAAAAATTATAAATGAAGAGTTAGGTGATTTTTGCAAAAAAAATAAATAAATAAATAATTAAATAATATATGCATAATGTATATATATAATATAATAGATTATGCCTTTTCTTTATGTTCTCATAATGTATTTATGCTGAGTTTGCTGATAATTTGTTTTTAATAATAACTTGGAAAATACAGCAACAAGTTTTTTTAAATCCTGAAAGCACTTTTTTATTCAATTAAATGATAAATTGAACAATTGCACCTTGTTATTATTATTATTATTATTATTTTTTTTTTATCAAATATGCTTTATTTAGGAAATTTAAGATATTTCATAATAGCTGAAAATTAAAATTTGTTTACTAACACCGCAATTTTAAAAATAGCCTTATAAAGTCAAATTTTAGGATAGGGGTGAAACTTTCCCAACTGGCGCAAAAATCGATCCACCTTCGCGGAAAGTTAACTGCTATACCTAATTATTTATATCAAATGGATTTCTATCGTAGATTTGATTACATAACCCCTTCGCGGGAAGTTAACTGCTATACCTAATTATTTATATCAAACGGATTTCAATTGTAGATTTGATTACATAACCCCTCAAATGGATATGTGCGATAATGCGCAGATCTACATATGAAATTCACCTAATGCAAAATAATCAAATGCAAAATATAATTACCTCAATTTGTAGGGACGGATTCAAAATTACAAATGTTTGACCTAAATTTTATATAAATCTAGTTACATTCAACAGTAATCGAATTTGAAATACATATTAAAAATATATTTTAATATATTTTCTAAATAAAATATATATAATTTATGGATAATAAATTTTAGAAAGATGAAACAACAAGGGCAATAAAGTAAATAGAGTGTAATCCCACGCCTACAATGTGTATGCACTTGGTACTATTTGTTCCGTTGCCATTTGTTTTTTGTTTTTTTCTTTTCAAAATCTGATGCAAAAAAGAAAATCGAATTGAAAATAGAAATTGAAATTGAAAATGGAAAATTGAAAAATTGACCATGCAGAAGAAGAAGAGCAAAAGAGTCGAAGAACACAAGTCTCACTAAAACCCCCCTTTTCACTCTCTAAACCAAACAAAAACCTCAAACTAATTTCTTGTAGAAAAAAAAGGGTTAATTTTCTTCATCTGGGCTTACTTGTAAGGGAAATGCTCTGAATTTTCAGCAGCATTTCTGCTGGGTTTCTCTCACATTTCGTCGTTGCGAACGGAGGTGGGTTTTTTATTTTTGTACGGGGTTTCGCATATGAAAGTACATGTCGATTTTATTGTGATTTTTATGTTTGTTGGTAGTTTGATTTTTTTGTTTTCCTCTGTAGTTTAATTCAGGGTTTTTTTTTTTATTTAGCTTTATTTTTGTTTTTTTTTTTTCAGTGTGTGTTTGATTTTTTCATGTAGGTTGAGAATTAGGGGTTTTGTTGTGGGATGTTCTCGAAATGAAAATGTGTTTGCGTTTTATTTCAATTTTCTCCTTCATAGTTTGTCGTTTTGGCTGAGCATCATAATTTTGTTTTGTTTATTTTTTAATTTTAATTTTAATTTCAAATAATATTATTCAGCCATAAGCAAAATCACATGAATTATTTTGTTTCACAGTCTTTTACTACTAACACTGGTATTTACATGAGTTTATTTTCGTTGAATTATTTGTTATTCTCAATGTTGAGGTTGAGTCTTTTCATGCCATTCTAATTGTGTTTCTTGAATATTGGGATAAATGTGAAAATAAGAAGTGTCGTTTATAACTCGACATGGTTATGGAGTACAGAATAGTGTCCAGGTTCGCATAAAAGGTTATTAGGGTTCTATTCATTTTTACTCGTTTCTTGTTGCAGCAAAATTACGCGATCTGATACTTGTAATTTCGTAGATCCATAATCTTATATATGGATCCTTTCATGTTGTTGTATATTTGTACTGTAGTTGAACTCATGATATATTTCTCTTTTACTCTCCAGGTGTAAAAGGAAATGGATGAATCTTCATTACTCGCAACTTTTGAGGCGAAAATAGAAGGGATAAAATTTGGTTTGGCAACTCGTCAAGAAATTGTGAGTACATGTGTCAATTCATTTTAAGCATCGAACAATTTGGTTACGTACCGAAAAGGGGGGGAAATGGACTTAGATGGCACAAATCTGGAACATAATCTTTTCTTCGGCTGTGATGATAGATTTTTCCATCCCTATTATTTATGAATATTAAGTTTGAGATATGAAAAAAACGATCTAGCTTCAAGCGAGGATATAATTTATTACAGATTATCTGTCGAGTAACTGATTCTTTTCCGTATCTCTTGACTAGTGTAAAGCATCAATCAGCGACTGCCCTATCAGTCACGCTAGCCAACTGTCGAATCCTTTTCTTGGCCTGCCTCTCGAAACTGGCAAATGCGAGTCCTGTGGTACCGGTGAGCCCGGGCAATGTGAAGGTATTTATTTCTCAATTTGTTGTACTAGAAAGTCAAATGATAATGAAACGATGTGTACGTTATTATTATATGATAATATATACTTCACTTACTTGAGCACACTTGCAATTTCAGGGCATTTCGGATACATTGAATTACCAACTCCAATATACCATCCTGACCATGTTGACGAGCTGAAAAGAATGTTGACTTTGTTGTGCTTGAAGTGCTTGAAGTTTAAAAATAGGAAGGTATTACATACCATGGCATACTTCTATTTACTGTTGTCATTGAATTGTTTCTAAGGAAGGTTTTCTTAACAATCAATGTAGTCGTCAATTCCATTTCTATTCCATGCCCTTTAATTCGATACTTATTTTGTATAGAATGACTTAATGCTTTGAAGTGTTGAAGTTAGTGATTACTTCTTCTAGATCATGAAATGGAAACTATTAAGTTTGCAAATTAGGAACTGTCCTTTTATCACGACCAAGTATAGAGTTCATGGACGCCTAAGTATTATTGTACTTCTAGAATGTGGTTATGTTTTTGTTTTCGTTGGTGTACTGATACCACTGAGACATGACTAGTAACCATCCTTTATATTCTTATCACGTTACTCATGTTCACTTCATTCAATTTCAGGTGAAGAATGTTGGTGTTATTGAAAGAGTACTATCGACATGCTGTGAGGTAATTCTATTGTATTTATATTTTAATTCATATTTACGTAGAATATCATGCATATAAGCGTAACTCTGCCGGGCTTTGTGCCAGCAGTATTTTGTTTAACATCGCCCTGGAATTTAATATTTTCTTTACCGACCCCAGTTCGTGATTATATCTAGCTTATGGTGTCAAATCAAATGAAAATTCTGATAAATTGAAACATGCTACTGTAAATGTAAAGAAGAGAAGGTAGGTAAAGTTGGGCATTCATGAAGTTTTCCGATTTCCATGTATATAACATTGCCATAAATTTTCTGATGATCTATAGTATATTGATCTATTTTGGTAATCCAGGCCAAATATATCCCTATATGGATATGTAAGTGTGATATATATTTCCGTTTAATTAGTCTTTCTAGCCTTTATGCCTCTTGAAAATATGGCAACATATTATTGCCACTGAATCCAATCCATGTTTGTTAAGTTTGTATATATGGCAGTCCACAGTTAAGATAATCCTGGTTGTTAAGAAGACAGTGCTTGAGACTTATGTTCATCTTGAAACCATTTTTATTTTTATTTTTATTTTTTTCTGAACTTAGAATATTAATGGTCGATTAGAGTCACCTCCTTCAATAATTCGTGATTATGAAAATAATTTAAACGAGTGAGCAAATGACAGTCTTGTGTTTTGTATACATTCTCAGATTCTTTCTTCATTGAAGTCTGTCTTTTTTTTTTTTTTTTTTTTTTTTTTCTTGTCTTGCTTGGTGGTCCTTTTGTTTCTTTCCTAGGTGAAGAATGCGTGTTCAATATTGAGTTGTTAGAATACTTCATAAGACTCATTGTTGGAAATCAGTGGTTCAGCTAACTAAACTATAGATGGGCACTTGAGGTCTAGTCGATTACTTCTTCAAAACATTCTGGCATTTTTTATTGACTCAAAAGAAAACTAGTTTTAATTTCTCTGTGAAGGATTCTGTGCCCCATCTTAGTTAAGCTTATCTCTGGGTAATCTTTTTAATGTTTAGATATTTAATATTGTCAACTATGTGCTGTCTCGTTTCCACCTGCAATCGTTAGAGTGTTCTGTGTTGAGTATTATATGTCCTTGAATATGGTTTTTCATATGCTGGAGATTCATGAGAATGTATGTTTCTGTTGGTTCCAAGTTTCTAAGTCGCGTTAGTAAAATAATGTTGCTCTATTTGGACCATATAGTGCTAATATTCAATCCTCTCTCTTGCTAGTTTTGTTGAAACTAGGCAGTTTTAGTTTGAGTCTTGAATATTTTTAAGACCGTCAGTTTCTTACTAAAGTTGAAGCCATAGTATATGGGGCTGCTACTTGACGTATCTTAAGTTTAAATCTGTATCAAGCGATGTGCGCACCATTTTGGAACAAATCAATGAAACTTTTTGGTGAAAATTCTGGTTGTGCCTCAAGTGTTCACTTATCTGCAGGAGACATCACAAATGTCAATCAACCAAGCCAAGACTACTGATGGAGCTTACTTTTTGGAGTTAAAAGTGCCAACAAGATTAAGACATGAAGATGGATTATGGCATTTCTTGGAAAAATATGGATTTCGCTATGGAGATGGGTATTCTCGCCCGTTACTACCTTCTGAGGTATTGCTTTGCACAAATATCTCTTAATTGATTCTTAAATCTGTTATATCTGCAAAAAAATGTTTTTGATAGAGTCTTTTAATGTCTCTTCTTTGCCTTGATTCCATCCCTGGAACACCTAGACAGAATTGAGGTGCACCTGAGGTTTAGTTTGCCATATGTGCTGATGAATAGATCTATAAATCTTTTATGGAGTATTGTATTTGAGGTTGCTCTTCTTTAGAAGTCAGACGTCGTAGTCGTATAATTGGTTCTTATTTTATTTCTAGTGTTCAACCATTTTTGTATGTTGATTTAATCTTCCTTTTGTCATTCTCATTATGGTTTTGCATTTATTAGTACATGTAGCATGAGTTGACTAGTAGCCCTTTCTCCTTGTGCATTTACTTATCTTTGGTTTTGGTACTACATCAGGACAAAGAAACAAATCTGGAATATAATACAGCTTGATCTGTTTTGTTCCTTCTAATGAAGTTTTGGAACTCTAGATGTCAGCATGTCTTTGTTTCCTTTTTTACATAAAAACATTTGAGCAGCAGTGTTGCACATATCTAATTTGGTTTTCTTGACATCTTAAGGTGATGGCAATATTAAGAAAACTTCCCCAGGACACCAGGAAAAAGCTTTCTGCGAAAGGTTACTTTCCACAAGATGGATACATCCTCCAGCACTTACCAGTTCCTCCTAACTGTTTATCCGTTCCTGATGTTTCTGATGGAATCAGTACAATGTCTACGGTTAGTCATTTTCATCAAATGTGACCCCTCCTTGAACCTTTTTGTTTCTGCTGAATATGTTGGCTGATTATCATCATCTTGTTGATGTCCAGGATTATTCTATATCGTTGCTTAAAAAAGTGTTGAGACAAGTCGAAATCATAAAAAATTCAAGGTCTGGGATGCCAAATTTCGAATCTCAAGAGATCGAAGCCAATGAATTACAAGCAGCTGTGGCACTGTATCTTCAATTTAGGGGCACTGGAAAGGTATTTCTTGTTTTTGTATGTTTTAATTGTTTTCCGTGGAAGATACAAGAGATTATTCTTTTCTATTGTAGTCTTGGATACATATTTGTTGTGTTTATCAGACTCTTAACATATTTAGGATTCTTTGATCTAGCTTAACTGACGTGGTTACAGCGTGGATAGTATACTGGTCGTTTACCTGATTGCAATTGATGATATTAGCTTTGTTGGGCTTTCTGCATGCTGACTAAGTTTTTATCTCGTTAGAAGTGATTAGTGTACCTTTCCTTTGTGATGAAAAACAATCCAGCATTATGCCTAATGTTCGGTTCTTTTATGATGTCATTGGTGATTTATTGGTTCATATAATTGTCATTCACTCTGATATTTTGCTTAAATCATGTTTCGTTTTAACTCCGAGTTCCCTTTTCAGGCATCACGTGACGTAGATTCTCGCTTTGGAGTCAACAAAGAAATAAATGTATCATCTACTAAAGCCTGGCTTGAGAAGATGAAGACTCTGTTTATTAGAAAGGGTTCGGGGTTTTCCTCTCGCAGTGTGATCACTGGTGATCCTTTTAAAGGAGTGTCTGAGATTGGTTTGCCGTTTGAAATAGCACAAAAGATTACTTTCGAGGAGCGGGTAAACCAGCACAACATACTTTTTTTACAAAAGCTGGTGGATGAGAAGTTGTGCTTGACATACAGGGATGGTCTGTCCCAATATTCACTGAGGGAAGGGTCGAAAGGACATACATCTCTGAGGCCTGGTCAGGTTGTCCATAGGAGGATAATGGATGGGGATACTGTGTTCATCAATCGGCCACCAACTACACACAAACATTCCCTACAGGCCTTATCCGTGTATGTACATGACGATCATACAGTTAAAATCAACCCCCTTATCTGTGGTCCACTTAGTGCTGATTTTGATGGAGATTGCATCCATCTCTTCTACCCGCAGTCTCTTGAAGCGAAAGCAGAGGTACTCGAGCTGTTTTCAGTGGAGAAACAGCTGCTTAGTTCCCACACTGGGGCTTTCAACTTGCAGCTGGCCAATGACTCGCTGCTGTCGCTTAAAGTTCTTTTTAGAAAGTATTTCTTGAGCAGAGCAGCAGCACAACAGTTAGCTATGTTTGCGCCCAATGTGCTATCCAGACCTTCAGTATCGAAGTCTGCCAGTGGCCCTCTTTGGACTGCACCACAGATTTTGGAGTTGACATTACCGCCTTCCTTTGATAGTTCTGGCGAGAGACACGTGATATCCAAAAGTGAGGTTCTAAGTGTAGATTTCAGTTGGGATGGGATGACGCCCATTGTCAATGACATAGTCACCTCCCTTTTCTTCTTGAAGGGCCCGGAAGAGGTTATAAGGTTCTTCAACTCGATACAGCCTTTATTGATGGAAAATCTGTACACGGAGGGCTTCAGTGTCAGTTTAAGAGAATTTTTCCTACCCTTGGATGTTTTGGAGAGCATCCAAGAAAACCTTCAGAAGATTTCTCCACTGCTGTTTCATCTGCGTGCCTCATATAGTGAGTCGATCGCTTTGCAGATAGACAACTACCTTCGCAATGTGAAGATTCCAGTTACAAACTTCGTGAAGTCCTCCGCAGTTGGCCGCCTCATAGATTCTAAAAGTGAATCTGCTCTCAGCAAGGTGGTTCAGCAGATCGGTTTCTTGGGGATTCAGTTGTCAGACAAGGGGAAGTTCTACACCGAGACTTTGGTCCAGGACATGTCATCACTGTTCCAAAAGAAGTATCCTTCTTGTGATGGCTATCCGGCTGAAGAATTCAGCTTGGTCAGTAGACCTCTCTTCCGTGGATTGAACCCATATCAGGAGATGGTTCATTCAATTGCGAGCAGAGAAGTCATTGTTCGCTCGACCCGAGGATTAACTGAGCCCGGGACACTATTCAAGAATTTGATGGCCATCCTTCGCGATGTGGTGATATGTCATGACGGGACCGTGAGAAACATGTGCAGCAATTCGATTATTCAGTTCGAGTATGGAGTGAACACTGCCAATATTGCGAGCGAGTTTTGTGCTGGTGATCCTGTCGGAGTCTTGGCGGCAACTGCCATGTCGAATCCTGCTTACAAGGCTGTGCTGGATTCTTCTTCAAGCAGTAACTCGTCCTGGGAGATGATGAAGGTAATTAACATATTAAGTTGATGTAACGTAGTGTGTTAATTGTAAAGTCTTTTGAGAAATATTCCCACTAATATGCCATTTTTCTTGAACTCAGGAAATACTGTTGTGTGGAGTCAGCTTCAAGAATGATATAACTGACCGCCGGGTGATTCTGTACCTCAGTCATTGTGACTGCGGCAGAAAGCATTGCCAGGAAAGTGCTGCACTGGTGGTAAAGAACCAGTTGAAGAAAGTCAGCCTCAAGGATACGGCAATGGAGTTCCTGATAGAGTATGTCCCTCATTTAAATTTTTCTAGAGCAACGGCACTATTAATATTTCAATAGTATATATGCGTAAGTATTTTTATTATAATAATTCCTGAGATCATTTGAAAATTTTCTTTATTTCTGTAACTTTTCTGTAAGTTATATCCTCCATAACTAAAGGAGCACGGTAATAGGTGATTTACATAAAAAAAAAGAATATTTGAATTGAGTATGTAAACTGTTGGCTGGTGGCAGCGTAACAGATTCCTAAGGGTCTTAATTGCACAGAGAATATGTAACAGATTTTTTCCGTGTTTAAATTGTGTTGTACTTACATTGATGCCATATTCATTGTTCTTCATATACTTTCGCAGATATAGATCTCAAAGTGTGCACGAGAGTCATGAGACCAGTCATGGTCTTGTTGGCCATATTCATCTGAACAAGGTGTTTGCCTTATTCTTGAAAACACTTTTTTTTTAATGCTGCATTAATGTTAATTTGGGGCTGATATTTTTCATTCTCATGACTGGTTTTTGAAACAGACACAGCTTGTACAATCAAATATTAGCATGGATGATGTACTTGAAAAATGTCGCGAAACAATCATTCTGCAACACAAAAAGAAAAAAGTTGGAAACCTGTTCAAGAAAGTTGAACTATCTGTCAGGTTTGTTTTGGTTTTGGACATGCAGTCTTAAATTTGAGCAATCGTCTTGGTTAAATCATTGTTTAGTACATTTATCGCGATTTGACACGTGAACTGAATGAAAAGGAACCACTTAAGAAATGTTGTAAGGTATGTTAGCACTAAAGATGCATCATTCCTGTCACATATTTCCTGAAAAAGGGTTTACAATGGTCACAAATTTTTTCTTTTCACATAATTATGGAAAGCTGTAAGTTGAATGTAGATGATTATTATTTCTATTTAGGGCAGCAATTACTAGATTTAGAATATCGAGTTACTAGCAAATATATTGATTTGGTTAAGACACATAATTTATGGTGCAAGTTCTTGTTAATTCCAAACTAGTCTTTTCAATTGGTTAAAACATCATTGGTTACATTCTTATGCAATATCCTTCTTTGCAGTGACTGTTGTTCTTTCTGCCAATCTTCCAAAAGCAAATTGACTGATGTTCCATGCATCCAGTTCTTTTGGCAAGGGGCACCTGATAATCTTTTAGAGAGAGCTTCCTATTTTCTTGCTGATACAGTTTGCCCGGTGTTGTTACAGACAATCATAAAAGGTGCTCATATATTTTCTTACTTATACTGTAACTTGAGGATGCATTTTGCCCTTTCCTTTTGGTATTCTTAGGAATGACAATATATAACCTAGTACGTGGGGGATGTTTTATTTTTTGGTGTTGATTTTTTTCTTTCTAGAAGTTTCTGCCTTGCTCTCTAATGTTGGGATTGAGTGGGTGATAAAGGGTACCGCAGTTTGATTCTCTGCTGTTAGAAATTATCTGTAATCATTTGAATTGGTGACAATTGTACAGGTGATCCTAGGATTTCAACTGCAAATGTGGTATGGCTAAGTCCAGACACGCCAACCTGGATCAGGAGCCCATCTAAGAGCCCAATCGGTGAATTGGCTTTAGATATTGTCCTTGAGAAAGAAGCTGTCAGGAAGAGTGGAGATGCTTGGAGGGTTGTGATGGATTCTTGCCTTCCAGTGATGCATTTGATTGACACCCAGCGTTCAATCCCATATGGCATAAAACAAGTACAAGAATTACTTGGTATTTCTTGTGCGTTCGAGCAGGCTGTTCAGGTATCATCTATTTACAATATCCTAGTGTATATAATATGAGTGAATTCCAAGCTTGGAATGAAATGTACAAACACGGATATATTTCCACTCCTAATGTTGTATTATTAATTTGTGTAGTTTAAAATTGACATACATGACACGCATACAAACCTATATTTGCTGTAAATTCTTTTCAACTTAAGATTGCATTTGTAGACCGACCATACTGAATGCTGTACTTGACAAAACAAAATAGATCAGGAAATAAATTCCACTCTGGTTGTAAGGGGAAAGACCATACTTGTTTCGAACATGTTCAAAATGTTACCTTCTTAGAAACTTGGCTTCATTACTGAATACACGTGATAGTAATTATTCTTATTAGTCATGTTAACTAATTAATTAGTTATGTTTTTCAATTGTGAGAAAAGGCTGACTGTTTTTATTTTTATTTTTTTTCTGTTATGTAGCGTTTGTCTACATCAGTGACAATGGTAACAAAAGGTGTGCTCAAAGATCATCTCCTTTTGCTGGGTAATAGCATGACATGTGCTGGCACTCTGATTGGTTTTAATTCTGGTGGCATTAAGGCTTTGTCTAGATTACTTGGTGTTCAAGTACCGTTCATGAATGCAACATTGTTTGTAAGTAGTCTTGTTCATTCTATTATCTCTTAACATGTATTCCATGTCATACCATTTTTGCTTTAATTGTCTGCTTACTAAGCTTTTTGCTTCCCTATTTTTTCAGACCCCTAGAAAATGCTTTGAAAAAGCTGCTGAAAAGTGCTACGTTGATAATTTGTCAAGCATAGTGGCTTCTTGTGCTTGGGGCAAACATGTATCAGTGGGTACTGGATCTCCCTTTGAGATTCTCTGGGACACAAGAAAGGTATGTGTTGCTGCAATCTTCTTTCGACCTGTTCTTCTGACAAATATGCCTGGAGACTCATGTTTCAATTTTCTTTTCTTAGGCTGAGTTGAGTCCAGATAAAGAAATTGATGTCTACGACTTCCTTCATATGGTGAATAGCTCCAAGCTGGAGGACGCGGGTACTAGTTGCCTGGGTGCGGATATCGAGGATCTGGGCCAGGAAGATTATATGGACTTGGACCTGTCTCCAGTGCGCGAACCTGGTTCAGAAAAGCCCACGTTTGAATGTGAAGTTGAATTTGGGCTCAATGGAGATGGATTTTCGAAGGAGGTAAAAATATTTCCTGAAAGTTAAGATTGCATCTTATGGCATCTTAAGTTTCATGATAGCAATATGAATTATGAACTGAAGTGGATCAGTATGAGAATATTGCTTAAATCCGTTTATCATTTGTAGCATGGTAGTAAAGCTGATTCATCAGATCTTTGTTGTTTTTCCATGCACGGAATATTCCGTAATTTCTTTTTTATGCATTCTTTTGTAATTGGCTGAATTTATGTGCACATTGCATACTGAGTTCATTTTGCTGCTAGAAGTATCAACAAATGAGTTTCAATTCCATTATTTTAGTTCCAGTAAATCATCTTTTTGTTCAGCTTGAAAGACAGTGGGAAAGATGAGTGACATTCATCGGTTTGATATTCTGAGTCACTATATATTTTATGGTTGAGTTCGTGTTAGTTCTTTGTGATTAAACTTTAATAATACTGCTGTGAACAGGGTGGCAAGGAATCTGAAGATAGCTGGTCTTCTTGGGGCAAAAAGGTTGACACTGAGGATGATTGGACAAAGAAGGCCGAGCTAACCACTTGGGGTAAGAAAGTCGATCGTGAGGCAGATGACTGGATTTTAAAGGGTCAAAAAAGTAAAACTGATGAAGAAAATAGCTCAAGTTGGGGGAAAAAGGTGGAGTCCGATGCAGGAGGTTGGGGAAGAAAACCAGAGCAGAGTACTGGGGGTAGTACTGGTCAAACCAGATCGATAGATAATGATTGGACAAAAGCTGGTCAACAAAGCACTTTTGATGAAGATGCTCAAACTGGCTCAGCTTGGGGGAAGAAGAAGGAATCTGATGCAGGAGGTTGGGGCAAGAATGTGGAATCGGATGCAGGAGGTTGGGGCAAGAAGGTGGAATCAGATGCAGGAGGTTGGGGCAAGAAGGTGGAATCTGATGCAGGAGGTTGGGGCAAGCAGGTGGACTCTGATGCAGGAGGTTGGGGAAAAAAACCAGAGCAGAGTCCTAGGGGTAATACGGCAAGATCGGTGGATAATGTAAATAGCCCAGCTTGGGGCAAAAAGGTCACTTCTGAGGGAAATGAATGGACAAAAGCTGGAGAGAAAAGCACTTCTCCTGAAGCAGCTCAAAATAGTTCAGCCTGGGGCAAGAAGGCAGGTTCCGATGGCGGAGATTGGGCCAAAAAAGATGAGCAGAGCACGTGGGGAAATGTCAAGAAGGCAGGTTTCGATAGCGGAGATTGGGCCAAAAAAGATGAGCAGAGCACGTGGGGAAATGTCAAGAAGGCAGGTTCCGATGGCGGAGATTGGGCCAAAAAAGATGAGCCGAGCACGTGGGGAAATGCCAAGAAGGCAGGTTCCGATGGCGGAGATTGGGCCAAAAAAGATGAGCAGAGCACGTGGGGAAATGTCAAGAAGGCAGGTTCCGATGGCGGAGATTGGGCCAAAAAAGATGAGCAGAGCACGTGGGGAAATGTCAAGAAGGCAGGTTCCGATGGCGGAGATTGGGCCAAAAAAGATGAGCAGAGCACGTGGGGAAATGTCAAGAAGGCAGGTTCCGATGGCGGAGATTGGGCCAAAAAAGACGAGCAGAGCACGTGGGGAAATGTTAAGGCATCTCAGATTCAGAACAAGTCGACTTGGGGCAGAGATGCTGCTCCGACCGAAAATGTTTCGTCTCCAAAATCTCAAGAAGATGGTTTGTGGTCATCAGCTCAGAAAGGTGAGCAGAGCACGTGGGGACATGTTAAGACATCTCAAACTCAGAACAAATCGACTTGGGGCGGAGATACTGCTCCGATCGAGAATGTTCCGTCTCCAAAATCTCAAGAAGATGGCTTGTGGTCATCAGCTTCGGCAGCTCAAAAAGAACAGGATGGTTCGAAGGATAACAACCCCTGGCAAACTAAAGTGGCTGAGCAAGCAAACTCAGAGCCTCTTAGTACTTGGGGCTCTTCGAGTGATTGGGTGAAGCCCGATTCTCAGACACCCACAGGTGATAATACAAAGAATGAATCTCCGTGGAGTTCGAGTCAGAAACTGTTGAATGACTCCACAGATTCTCAGGGTTGGGGTTCTTCAAAAGTGGATACAGCCAACGATAATGATGAGCAGCCTCAGTGGGGCCGAGGGCGTGGTAGAGGTAGGGGTAGGGGGTGGGGCCGGGGGGTTGGTCGTGGCAGAGAAGGTTCACAAGGTAGGGGCCCCACGAATGATAGAGACTGGAAAAACAAGAGAAGTGGCGGCCCTGTTGATGATCCAAACGCACCTGGAATTTTCACTGCGTCGAGGCAGAGGTTGGATTCATTCACCGCCGAAGAACAAGAAGTTCTTTTGGAAACCGAAACTATTATGAAGAACATCAGACGAGTAATGCATCAGACGGGGTAAGTTAATTTTTATTTTTTATTTTTTTCGGTTTCTAAACTTCTTGTTGGTATATTATTTATATTATTTCAGATTCAGAATTAGACTCAACAAAATGCTAATATATCTACAACGACTCTCGTATTGGGAGTTGTGATTCTGTTTTCAACTGTAGTGTTGTCTCCTGAAAATCTTTTTTCAGTTTAGAAGTGATTTTTCTGATTCTAAAACCGAATACGCAAATTCCACGAGGCTTGTTCTTTCATCTTCCTTTTTGGAGGGAACGATAAAGAAGAAGAAACGGAGAACACTTTTTGATGCTTACTAAATTGTATGCTAGAATGTGGGTTTAGCTTTTAGTCAGATGAATGAACTGTTTTGTTTGTGTGTGAAGGTACAATGATGGTGATCCTCTATCTGCGGACGATCAGAAGTACATTGTCGATAACGTCTTGAATCATCATCCTGAAAAATCACTGAAGATTGGAGCTGGACTGGATCACATAATGGTACGGCTAGTTAATTTACAACGAAAAAGTTCTGTCGAGATAAAATATTTTGGTTGTTTTTTCAGCCTCTATTTATGCTTAACTCTATATTTTTCTGCTATACAAGTACTTTCTGGTCAAATGTTTTATTCGGTCATCATTATTTTCAAATATTGAGATGTTTTGGATGACAACCAAACTTCCGTTTCAGTCTTCCGTAATAACAAACTTGAATTTCAGTCTCGGTTTTCGAATCCTAGTTTTCACGACGTGGCACTAATATATATATAAACGGATTTTCTTAGTCTTGACGAAATTATTTCAAGCTTAACTTGAGGTGGCCAGAAAGCAATTTACCCGTTTTCCCTTTTTTCAACATCTAATATTTCTTGGGACTTTATCGATCTATGTACCTATTTATTTATCTTGTATTGAATCTAATTTGGGACTCGTTTGACAGGTCAACAAGCACAGTGAGTTCCAAATGAGCCGATGCTTGTATGCTGTTACTATCGACGGTAGCAAAGCAGATTTCTCGTACAGGAAGTGTCTAGACAATTTCATAAGGGGAAAATATCCAGACGTAGCCGAATCTTTTATCGCAAAGTACTTCAAGAAGCCGCAACCTCGTACCGGATGGAACAACAACAGTAAGGATCGCCCCCCTCGAAGTGAAGCTGGAACTCCAAATTGGAATCGCGATTCTACCCCTGCTCCTCCGGAAGATTCCGGAACACCCGGCTGGAATAATACCGATCGTACCCCTGGACAAGATAACGTTAGTACTCCTGATTGGAACAAGAGTAGTCAGTTTTCTGCTACAGACGAACCCGAAAATCTAGCTGATCCGTGAGGAGGTGAAATTTATTGTGGAGTTGGTCTTTCGTTTCTTTTTGCTAGCACTTGAATGTACAGTTCTATGAGCTACTAACGAGTTATTGGGGAAAAAAAAAATTCGGACGACGAGTAGAGAATTCAGCTGAGTTTGTGTTAATTTTTCTGCTGGAAGTTGTAGTTATTTAATCTCATGCCTGAGCTAATTAATGATTGTCTGTTGCTACAGTTTCACTGGGATTATTTCTATGAAATAATTCATTTTGTCAATCTGCAGTAAAGAAGTAGTTGTGAACATGATGCTGCTGTTTAACATTCTCTTCACATATTTTCAGAATCTTCAGTTAAGATATATTAATTAATATTGCAGGCCAACTTATTATTTTGGTAATTGCAGTGATCCCTGATTTATATTTTGGCTCGTAACATAATCGAACAATTTTTCTCGTGAGGTGAGGTCAAATTACTAAAAATCCCCTCTTGTTTGGGTAATTACAACCACCCCTCAACTGTGAATTTTCTTACATGTCTATTCTTATGATGTCAAATTCAAAATATTCTTCTAGATTATGTGTAGATTATGTGTGATGTTCTCTAGTTTGTACTCGTTTTGTGTATAAATGCAGTTTCTGATGCACTACAATCTGATATTTACAAGCCAAGAAACACATTTCATGATTATCTTATTTCAAACATAGAGCTCAACTGGGGTAAAACGGGTACAAACTGAAGAATATTCCACATAATTTAGAAGATTTCACTAAATTTGACACCGCAAGGGTAGATACGTAAGAAAATTCATAGTTGATGGGTGGTTGTAATTACCCTAACATGATGGATTTTTTCGTAATTTGACCTTACCTCAGGGGGTGGCCGTACTTACCCTAACTAATAACTAAAATCTCTCTATATAAAAAATTTATTATCATATTTAATTTAATCTAATCTGAAATAAATTTCAATCATACTCGTACCAAGGTTTTTTTTTTGTTTGGGAAAATATTCATAGTATCATACCAATTGAAAATTAAAAGTCTCTAATAATTGTGTTTTGTTAATTAGTGGCCCTAAACTCGTGAAGTAAGTTCTGCCTAAACTCCATTCTTAGAGGCTGAGGTCTTTTTGAAAATAAGACAAAATTGAGGGGCCAATGTACAATATCCTAAACAAGAGGGATTTCAAAAGCAAAATACAGTTCACCTCTCGATCTTCTTCGAGACCATGAGTTTTATAGTTTGACATCTGCAAACGTGTCACACAGCAACACTCCACTGATCCCCACTCCATTACCTGGTACTCTCTCTCTCTCTCTCTCTCTCTCTCTCTCTCTCTCTCTCTCTCTCTCTCACACACACACACAGTGCGTGTTTTCTTGATCTCTTACTGATTGCTGTAGTGTGTAATAATTTCATAGAAAACGAGGTACATTTTCTGGAAATAGAATGCTAAATCTATCCAGTAGTTAATTATATTCCTTAATTATGTGTGGAAGCTATTTAATTTCCCAATTATTGGATGTTAAATTAATGTAATATCACATACATACATACACTGTAAGCTTAGTGAAAGAAAAAGGATTTAAAGAGTTCTTGGATTTATCAATTATTAATTAATTATGGCAAGAACAATTAATTCAAATTAAGGGATTGTAATGAGATACAAAATCTGTATACATCTGCATTTAATGCTTGGATAATGTTAGTGTATGGGAAGAGATCAATATTTATGATGTATTTTTATGTTTGATGGGCAATAAAACAAAGGATTTGTTCGGTTTTAATTTCGAAACTCCGATCGATTTTGTTAGTGTCTACGAGCACTGAATTTCGTGGTGGCGAAATTATCCTTATCCGTATGTAATAAGCAAATCTGGCTTCTGGATATAATCCCTTTTGCTTGGCTTTGCTTATCTTCTTGATTAATGTGTCGTTTCGTCGAATAGAAATTCATTTACATATTCAACTTTAAATGCTTATGGTATTGTGTTCGGTTATGATTCATCCCTTTTCGGTTATTTATATATATACACCTTTAGATATGAATTCGTTGGTCGGTCAACTTGTTTACCTCCGAGTAACGGTCACAAAGTATGGGAAGATCCGTCGATCTTTAAGTGGAGAAAGAGAGATGCTCATGTTCCGCTTCACTGCCACGAATCTGTCGAAGGTATAGCTGCTTTTCGCATTTTTCGTATTTTTCGTATTTTTCTAATTAATAATTTACGCAAATACTCGGCTTTAGAAGAGAGAGAGAGAGAGAGAGAGAGAGAGAGAGAGAGAGAGAGAGAGAGAGAGAGAGAGAGAGAGAGAGAGAGAGAGAGAAACTCTAGTCCATTTTTCGATCTTTTTGGTTCAAATAATCGATTTTTTTTTTTTAAAATTAGGATCTCTGAGGTATTGGTACGAGCGTAATAAAGTGAATCTCTTGGCGTCGAAGGAAGCTGTTTGGGATGATAACGCGGTCGCCAAAGCGCTCGAATGTGCTGAATTTTGGGTTAAGGATTTGCCCTTCGTTAAGTCTTTGTCCGGTAATTGGAGATTCTTTCTTGCCACTAGCCCTAGTGATGCCCCTTCGGAATTTTACGACAGTTCATTTCAAGATTCTTCATGGGCTACTATACCAGGTAAAATTCCGTCTTAACGTAAGACTAACTGCCTTAACAGTGATGTCATTGTTTCTTCGGAATTTCTTCGGAACTTATGAATTCATATTTCATGAAATGTAAAAGGGTATAACCGATTTGAGTTGAAAATCTAAGTTTGAATAACTTGTATGCTCTGTTCTCTTACGTTATTTTTTTTTTTCGTATTGAACCAGTTCCGTCAAATTGGCAGATGCATGGATTCGACAAGCCGATATATACGAATATTGTATACCCGTTTCCGCTAAATCCACCGAAAGTTCCGGAAGATAATCCCACCGGCTGCTACAGGACTTACTTTCACCTTCCCAAAGAATGGGAAGGTAATCTTTCGGCGAATTGTTTCATTTTTTTTATTAGCCTTTAATTGCTTACAATTATCATCTCTTACTCAGTACACTCAAAAAAAAAAAAAGAAAATCCCGATAAATTTTCAGTTTGTATGTTTTTTGCGGGAAATTTGGAATAGTTGTAAAAAAAGAAGAAAAAAAATTCCCGGTAAATTTTCGTTAACATCTGCAAACTCTGTGTACTGTAATAATACAGTTGAGATTTTTAGTACACTAGCAATATAGGATAATATTTTATGGTGTCCGATTGTCGATCATACCGTTAAATGCCGTTTTGCAGGTCGGAGGATATTCCTACATTTTGAAGCAGTCGATTCCGCCTTCTTTGCATGGGTAAACGGACACCCCACCGGATATAGGTTTGTCATGCATCTTGTAAACCACTTTTAACATTTTTCGTATAATTCATTTAATAATTACGCGGTTCCATTCTATATTTGCACATTAATCACAAAAATCAATAAACTCTTTTTTTTTTTTTTTTTTTTTTTTATTTTATTTTTTATTTATTTCAGTCAGGATAGCAGATTACCAGCCGAATTCGAGATAACGGAATTTTGTCATCCATTTGGATCAGACAAGAGCAATTGCCTTGCTGTTCAAGTTATGAGATGGTCCGACGGGTCCTACCTCGAAGATCAAGATCACTGGTGGTTATCCGGCATTCATCGAGATGTTCTTCTTCTTTCTAAACCTAAGGTAAATATTTACTCTCTTCGTAACGTGTTTTCTCTCCGTTCATTGTTTAAAGAAAAAATTCATTATATCGATTTATGCAACAAAAAAAATCCAAGTACGAAAAATATCGTGTGCAGGTCTTTATCGCGGATTACTTCTTCACATCGAACTTGTCAGAAGATTTTTCTTCTGCAGATATACAGGTACCATAAACATAACCGTGTATTGTATTTTTCCCTCCGTATTATTTATTAGGGTAAATTACAACCACCCCTGAGGTATGGTCAAATTATGAAAAACCCCCTCCTGTTTGGGTAATTACAACCACCCCTCAACTATAAATCTTCTTACATGTCCCCCCTTGCGGTTTCAAATTTAGTGGAATCTTCGATATTATATGGAATATTATCACTTTTGTACCAGTTTTATCCCATTCGAACTCCACATTTTGAAGCAAGATGATCATAATATGTGTTCTTTGGCTTGTATATATCAGATTGTGGTGCATCAGAAACTGTATTTTTACACAAAACGAGTACAAACTAGAGCACATTCCAATGATTATGTTGAATTTGACACCATAAGGGTGGAGGTGTAAGAAAAAATCATAGTTGAGGGGGTAGATGTAATTATCCAAACAAGAGGGTTTTTTTCGTAAATTGACCATACCTCAGGGGTGGTTGTAATTTACCCTATTTATTATTATTATTATGATTACCACCTCGAATATTATTATAATGGACGATGGTCGATCGAATGTCGTGTACAGGTTGAGGTGAAAATCGACCACTCGGCATTGAACATTGACAACAACTCGGTAATAACGGGGAGTTGGTTCAAAGCAGCTGAAGATAAGTTTATAGCAAACTTCACCATTCAAGCTCAAATTTTCGACACCGATGGAAAAACGAGCCTCGCTCTTCTAGAACTTACTAATTCCGTTGATTATATTCTCGGGTTTATTGGATATCAGCTTAAAGGGAAACTTCTCATGCCTAAGCTGTGGTCTGCCGAACAAGTAATTTTCTTTTTTGTTTTCATTTTTATTTTTATTATCATTAATTCTTTTTTAACACTAACTATTTTTTCGGTGCTTGCTATTTACATACTTAGATTTCTAATATTTAATCTGTATTTTCCGGTAAATCTCTCTACACTTGTTTCTTGGATTTCTTACACTTTTTTTTTTTTTTTTTTTAATTTATGACAGCCGAATCTTTACACACTTGTCTTGACCCTAAAAGATTCTTCGGGGAATATAGTTGATGTCGAATCATGCCAAGTTGGCATACGGCAAATAACAAAAGCCACAAAACAACTACTCGTGAACGGTCAACCCGTTATGATAAGAGGGGTCAACAGACACGAACACCACCCTCGTATCGGGAAAACTAACTTGGAATCCTGCATGGTTCAGGTGCTGACTCATCACTTCTTTTTTCTTCTCACTGTCATAAATATTTAGTACCACTTCTCTTACACGTCGTCATTTGTTTTTTATTTTTTAAAATAGGATTTGGTTTTGATGAAGCAAAACAACATAAACGCTGTAAGAAACAGCCACTACCCACAGCACCAAAGATGGTACGAACTGTGCGATCTCTTCGGCATGTACATGATCGACGAAGCCAATATCGAAACTCACGGTTTTCATCTCTCGTCAAACGTGAGGCATCCCACTAGCGAAACAATGTGGGCCCCGTCAATGTTGGATCGAGTTATTGGAATGGTCGAACGAGACAAAAATCACGCCTCCATTATTTCGTGGTCCTTGGGAAACGAATCGAGCTATGGGCCTAATCATTGGGCACTTGCAGGTATCTTTTATTAACTATAAATAACAAAAGCATATTATTCATTTTTTTAAATACTTAATAAAAAATAAAATAAAAAATAAATTAAAGGTTGGGTAAGAGGAAAGGATTCGACTAGGTTCTTACACTACGAAGGAGGTGGGGCCAGAACATCTTCGACAGATATTGTGTGTCCAATGTATATGCGTGTTTGGGATATAGTTAAGATAGCTGAAGATCCATCGGAATTACGTCCGTTGATATTGTGCGAGTAAGTTATTTAATTTTTTTCAATTTTTTCGTCATTTAAATACCAGTTTTTTGTATGATATAATGCTAATCGAGTTGCGTTAAAAATTTTAGGTATTCACATTCGATGGGAAATAGCAACGGAAATATTCACGAATATTGGGAAGCGATTGACAGCACGTTTGGTCTACAGGGAGGTTTCATCTGGGATTGGGTCGATCAGGTTCGAATCTAGTAAATTTCGAATTTTAAATTAGGGAAAATTACGATAACCCCCCTCAGGTAAGAACTATTTACGAAACCCCCCTCATTTTTCCATAATTACATCCACCTCCTCGCAATTTGTAGATTTCTTACACTTAACACCCTTTTCTAGGGGGGTGGATGTAAGAAATTTACAAACTACAGGGTGCTGGATGTGATTTCTCAAAAATAAGGGATTTTTTTCGTAATTACACTTTACTTCAGTGAGGTGGTTGTTATTTACCCTTTAAATTATACTTTCATATAGACTTCATTTAACAATTTGTGTGTAGATTAAATGACATAATACGACGAAATATCAGATGCACTTTAAATGAAAAAAATACCATCTTTTACGTGTTGTTATCCGTGCCAATTTGATTTTAAATTTTATTACCATGCATATTGATTCTTTCTATATTACCTCTCGTAAATTTTTTTTGCATGTTAGTACGAGAAATAATATTGCTGCATTTACGTACAGGGATTATTGAAGGAGAGTGCAGACGGTACTAAACATTGGGCATACGGAGGAGATTTTGGGGATTTCCCAAATGATCTCAACTTTTGCCTCAATGGTCTTATATGGCCTGATCGAACTCCTCATCCCGCTCTACATGGTAAAAATAATTTATTTTACTTAATTTTTATTTTTAATTTTAAAAAATAAATTTTTATCCAATTTTCGTGACTCATTTTACTCAATTTTTTTGTAATTTTCAGAGGTGAAGTATGTATACCAGCCCATCAAAGTTTCGCTCAAAGAAGGAATAATTAAGGTGGTATCTTTGTATATATATGTGTGTGTGTGTGTGTGTGTGTGTGTGTGTGTGTGTGTGTATTCTAATTTATTTGACAAAAAAAATAAAAATAATCCTAATATTGGAAGGTGAAGTGTACTTTTTAGATTACAAACACGCACTTCTTCGACACGACAGAAGCATTATCGTTCGACTGGATAATCCATGGTGACGGTATCGATCTTGGTTCTGGACTACTCAGCCTGCCAGCAATTGTTCCCCAGAAAAGTTACGACGTAAAATGGGATGCTGGTCCATGGTATGACTTATGGTGCACCTCAGATGCAGCAGAGATATTTTTGACGATTACTGCAAAGCTTTTGGGCTCGACTCGTTGGGCTGAAAAGGGGCATATAGTTTCGTCCACACAAGTTTCGCTGCCCATAAAAAACGAAGCCGTTCCTCATGTAGGTGTTTGTTTGTTTTCTCTTGAAGTATTTTCGTGTTTCCTTAGTATTTACAAACATTTGACAAATGTTACGGTTTAATTTTGAAGGTTATTAAAGGTGGGGATGCAGCTTTGCTTACGGAAATTCTTGATGATTCTATACACGTTAAGAATACGAATATGTGGGAAATCAAGTTTAGCAAAAAAACCGGAGGTATCGAGAGCTGGAAGGTAAGTGATGACATCACATGTTTTGCTCAATTTCGTAACTAGTCCCTCCGTTTATTTTTTTAAGTATCGTTTTAAGGTAGATGCACGCGGATTAAGAATCCTAATAAATAGCATTCATTTTGATGGAAAATTCCAAAATTACCCTTTACAAATATTAAGAAGCTATTAATTGGTGGGATCTCTCAATATAAATACTCGTTAATGATGAAGGGCAAAATTGGTAAAAAAATATTAATTGGCAAAATTGGTGTCTTGAATTCTACGTTTGGTGTCGGAAAACGATAGGTGGATGGGGTTTTAGTGATGAACAAAGGTATATTACCATGCTTTTGGAGAGCACCGACGGATAACGACAAAGGGGGCGAGGCCGAAAGCTACCTCTCGAAATGGAAAGCCGCAAATTTAAACAATTTGAATTTCACAACAAGTAGCTGCACGGTCCAAAACGTGTCGGACAATCTCGTCAAAATATCGGTGGCCTATCTTGGCACGCCAGGTGGCGCAGAGACAAAATCACCTCTATTCAACGTCGACTTAACTTACTCGATTTACAATTCCGGAGATGTAATAGTGGAATGCCACGTAAAACCCAATTCGGAGTTGCCACCTCTGCCCCGAGTCGGGATCGAGTTCCACCTGGACAAATCGATGGATCAGATTACGTGGTACGGGCGGGGCCCTTTCGAGTGCTATCCGGACCGTAAAGCCGCCGCGCACGTCGGTGTGTACGAGCAGGATGCGGGCAGCATGCACGTGCCTTATATAGTGCCCGGTGAGTGTTCGGGCCGGGCCGATGTTAGATGGGCCACGTTTAGAGACAAGGGCGGTTTTGGAATTTATGCTTCGGCTTACGGTGGGTCCCCACCGATGCAGATGAGCGCGAGTTACCACAGTACGGCGGAGCTCGAGAGGGCCACGCACAACGAGGAGCTAGTCAAGGGAGACAACATTGAGGTACACTCCCTTTTCATTTATTTATTTATTTTATTATTATTATTACAAGGTATCCGAGTTTAAGTTGGTTGTGGTTTTGTCGTTACATAGGTGCATTTCGACCACAAACACATGGGTGTAGGCGGAGACGATAGCTGGTCTCCTTGTGTGCACGATAAGTATCTTGTGCCTGCGGTACCGTATACCTTCACCGTCAGATTATCTCCGCTTACTGCATCCACATTATCTGGTCATTCCATTTACAAATCACAGCTCGACGAGAATTAATAAAAAAAAGAATATACGGCTTGATTGCAATGAAATGCCCGTCTTTTTTTTTCTTTTTCGGATGTATGGTTCTTGGTTTTTATCTTTCCACGTCTTCTGTTTCCGCGTTCCACGAACCAGCTTAATTATCGATCCTTTGTAATAAAATGAAATACGAGTTGTAATTGTTTACTTGTGTGCTTTTTTAGGTTCATGGAGGATGAAGTTAATCCAATGGCATTCTTCCATTGTTTTTGGTTGTTTATTTCATTATTACTATGGTGAATTTGATAGCTTTTGGTGCAAATATAACAACCATGTGTATTATATTTATGGGAGTACCAGTGAAGAATTATGGACCGAAATGATGATAGGTGGAACTAGGGTCGGGCATGGATCGGTTTTATCGGTCAATCGACCTACTTTCGACCCGCTTCTTTCGACCAATAATTGTGTTGTCAGGTCAGTAATTATAGCCGACACATTAATAAATGGGTCGGTCAGTGGTTTTCAGTTTAGTCAAAAGCCGGTTGGTGGGATAATATCGGCAATCGACTTTTTTAATAATTTTTTTTATTATAAATATTTAACTTTAATTCTTATATTCCCGAAAACTTAAAACACAAATTTATAAACCTCTCCGTACTATTTCTATTTTATAATTCTTATTTCATATTCTTCATTATATATTTACTTATGTTATAAAAATCTTAACCTTAAAATTAAGAGTTTTTTTATTAAACTTCTATAAATAATATAATAAATTAAATGTTTCTTAAATCGTAATTTGTAAAATTTGATCGGTTCATTGATATTTAAGATTTATTTTAACATTTGAATCGACTTAGGTATGAATAAATTGAATCGTAAAATTTGAATCGTAAATCATAAAATTTTAACGCAATTATGGCTGAAGAGGAGTCGAAGCATGCTGAGTTAGTGGCGGATTTTGGATATTGCAAGAGAGATCCACTTTGGGATCAAATTTGCAATTTGATTGGAGGTGGTGGGAAGATGGAGTAATATAGGGATGATTCTGCAATTTTCAGAATTGTTTCAGCCAGGGAGGTAATGACCAAAATTGCAGAATAAGGACCATAATTAAAAATGATATATAATATAAGGACTAAAACTGTAATTATCCCACGTTTATTATAAATAATATAATGAATTAAAGTTTTCTTAAAAAAATCATAATACCGAACTTAAAATCTTATGATTTACGATTCAAATCTTACGTTTCTACTAGATGATCGAATCAAGATGGATGCGCGAGAACTAGAGGAACGAGTCAAGAGACGGGAGAGAGAAAGAGTTGCTCGTGAAAACATGAAGAAAACCTTGGAGTTCAACGATCATAACCGAGATTTTGTATTTATAGGCCTGCAAGAATAAATAAATAAATCGGTAAGTAAACATAATATATTTTAGCGCATGCCGATTTACACGTCGTATCAATTTTAATAACACTATTTTAATTACTTGATTTCAACATTTTTCTAATTTAATTATGCCAAACTTCAAAACACGAAAATTGAAGTCCTTTTGAGTTACCTTTCTGAACCAACTTGAAAAATCTAACCTAAATTTCGGATGACCAAATTATGTATTAACGAGGTATGCTTTAAATTTAGAAGATTCCACTAAATTTAACACCGCAGGGGTGGAGGTGTAAGAAGATTCATAGTTGAGGGGTAGATGTAATTATCCAAACAAGATGGGTTTTTTCGTAATTTGACCGGCTCAACCAGGGTCAACACGGGTTTTTAATTTTTAATTATTTTATTAATTTAATACTTAAAAAAATACTATTTTTCTGTGTTTTAATGTATTTACATATTAAACCTATTTTAAACAAATTTTCTGGGTCGCGGTCGAACCGGTCGGTCCGGTCCGGTTCAGACAAGAATGAAGAAAAGAATAAATATTAATATAATAATCCTTAAACATGTCCTGCTTCTTCGGAAGAGAGTTTAAAAAAGGAAAAAGAGTTTAGAAAAGGAAACAGAGATTACAAAAGGAAAATTACATAGATTTGAAACTCTGTTTGGTAACCAATCAGAGTTTATAAAAGGAAAATAATACTTATAAAAACCTAGATCAAAAAACCTGTGCGTACATTATTACTTTTTCGTCACCTTTTCTATTAAAATAATTTCTTTTTTCTTGAATTTCTGTTGTTACGATGAAGAAGATGCCGCCGGTTCCAAGATGTAGTAATAAACCATGTTCGAAAAGATCAAAGCTCCAACGAATTTCTGCCATAATCAAGAACAATTCCAAGTTCAAATTTTCGACTACTTCTACGTTACGACAAACACCGTGTGATGATATTCGTAATAATACGGCGGCCGATGTCAGACGAGTATCAAAAGAAGAAGAAGATCCGGTAATGATTATCCCGGCAAAGCCGACGAGGGCGCCGGAAATAATAATATCGACCGCCGCAGCGGAAGATGACGTGGAGGATAAGGCGGCTTCTGCGAGGGCTTTGATGCTGAAAACTCGATTCGCCGATACGATATTCAAAGCGAAACACCACTTGCTCGGGAAGTCCGACGGCGGCGTCGTGCTGCAAAAGCAGATGGAAGAGAAGAAACTTCAAGAAGAAAGAATCAGGATTGCGGATTTGAACAAGAGGCGGGAGAGAGAGAGAGTCGCTCGTGATAATATCAAGAAAACCGTTGAGTTCAACGATCAGGACCGAGATGTCATGAACCAGCTGGCGACGTGGGGTTGTGGGCAGCGATGGGGCGGCGTTGGCCCTTTGAAGACGCTTGGATTGTTTATCAAGCCCGACGATTTTGATTACATCGAACGTCATCCAGATCGAGTCGATGCTGTACTACCTATGTTTGATATTGATACCGAACAAGGAGAGATTATATCATAGCCATAGCCTTTTTTTCCGATTAATTTCGCTTTTCGTGTAGGAAAATTTTACAAGATGTATATATATGCATATCGATTTTATCGATCTTTTGTTACATGTATCTATCAATTTTTACCATTTTTTACAGCATGCAGTATAATTGAAATCATGTTATATGCTTCTGTCTTTAATTTGTTTTAGGGAATTTATCTGTCGAGATAATAATGTTCAATGAATTGACATCCTAATTAGATCAGAAAAATTAAACGAAAGCTTAATTATCAAAATATTTTTATTTGTATTTTTTGTAGCGGAGGAATTTGATGGATGGTCGAACTCGATTGAACCGCAACCTGTACAAATCGAAAATAAAAAATTAAAAAATCTTATGATTCACGGTTTGACTCTTCTTCAACTGTAATCGCGTGTGACTCGTTTACAAAAATTTGTAATACCGAGCTTCAAATCTTATGATTCATGGTTCAAATCTTACGATTCAATTACCTAAGTCGATTCAAATGTAAAATAAATCTTAAATATCTACAAATCCATCAAATTTTGAGATTTACTATTTAAGAAAACTTTAATTTATTATATTATTTGTAATAAACTTGGGACAATTACAATTTTGATCCCTATATTATAGACCATTTTTAATTAGGGACGGCTACCGTTTCTTTCTCACTTCAATACCACCAACATAAAAAATAGAAAATAAATAGGTAATATTTTTACCAATTTAATTGCATCCACCCCCAAGGTATGGTCAAATTACGAAAACCCCCCTCCTGTTTGGGTAATTACAACCACCCCTTAACTATAAATCTTCTTACACGTCCACCCTTGCGATTTCAAATTTAGTCGAATCTTCGAGATTATATGACATATTGTCACTTTTCTACCCGTTTTATCCCATTCGAATTCTACATTTTGAAGCAAGATGATCATAATAAGTGTGTTTTTTTCTTGTATATATATCAAATTGTGATACATTAGAAACTGCAGTATAACATAAAACTAGTACAAACTAAAGCACATTCCATGAAATCTAATTTATCCCCTTCAAATAACTCTAATTTCTCAAAAAGTAATATTTTGTTTCAAGCCGATCGGTATTTTTCTTCCTTTTTATATAAAAAGAAAAATATGAATATAAAAACCAACGTTAAGAATGTTATGAACCCGGTTAGGTTTATTAATAGGGCAAATGACATATAGGCCAATGACAAGGGCATTTTATTAAAAAAAGGATAACCATTTTTTTTTGTTTTTCAAATATTTCCAATTCATTCAAACTTATTTGCAAATAAGGAAATTCCTTTTATATATACCAAAATTACCACCAATTCATTGAAACTCAATTCAATGATTTACACCCCAATTTAGCCCAATTTCACCAATTATCTAATTTTAACCCTAATTTCAAGTTTGACCCCCATTTTGACCCGCCACCACCGGAGATGGGTTATCTGGCGTTGACTTTGTTTTTTTTGAAAACTTTTTTTTCTCAATTTTTTTCCGGTTGGTCAACCGCCGGGTCTCCAGCGCTGACTTTTTTTTTTTCTTAAAAAAAATATTTTAATTAATATTATTGTCGAGGCTGCTTAATTACTGTCTCCAACAGTTATTTAACTGTCGAATACATCAATTTAACTGTTAATTGACTTTTTCTTTTTCTTAAAAAAAACATTTTAATTAATATTTCTGTCTTGGCTGCTAAATTACTGTCTCCAGCAGTTATTTACCAGTCGGAGATAGTAATTTATCAGTAAATTGACTTTTTTTTCTTAAAAAAAATATTTTAATTAATATTATTGTCTTAGCTGCTAAATTACTGTCTCTAGCACTAAATTACTACTCCAGCAGTTATTTAACTGTTAGAGACAATAATTTAACTGTTAATTGACCTTTTTTTTTTTTTTTTTTTTTTTTTTTTCTGAAAATTAGTTTTTTCTTAATTTTTTTTAATTAATTTTACTGTCTTGGCTGCTAAATTACTATCACCAACAGTAATTTAACTGTCTGAGACAGTAATATTACTGTATTAATTAATTTTGTCGTCTTGGCCGATATTTTTGCTGTCTTCGACTCTAATATTACTGTCTCCGACCATAATATTCCTGTCTCATGCAATAATATTACTGTTTGAGAGAGTAATATTAGTAATATTACTGTTCGAGAAAATAATATTCATAATATTACTGTCCTACACAGTAATATTACTGTCTGAGACAATAATTTAGTAGCCAAGACAATAATATTAATTAAAATATTTTTTTTAAGAAAAAACAAAATTTCAAAAAAAATAATAAAAAGAAAAATAATGTCAACGCCGGAGACCGGGGGTCAACGACGATTGACCGGCTAGAAAAAAATTTCAGAAAAAGAAGAAGAAAGAAAGTCAACACCGGAGA